AATCTTTCATCATCATTAAACACTTTCACCACACTAACATTATCATGTTTTTGCGAGATGCTAGAATAAACGCTTAGAAGCATAAACATATAAAGATACAACTATCCCCCCCAAACTCCCAATACCCAAAAACCCCCTTTTTTAAAAAGTGCAGGCTTTTGTTTTCCCCTTTTCCCCGGACTAAGTCCGAAATATAAAAAAATAACGGTTTCCCTGTCCCTTCACTAAATTTTCCCTGCTCACACTCCAACAGATCGTCAGGCCCAAGTATCATTCGTCCCCTTTTACCCCTATCTAACACACTCATGTCGCTTGTTGGAAGCCCAAGCCCCTCCCCCAAAAAAACCCTTTACCCCTCTTTCAACCCTTTCGAGGACGACCCCTACCCCCCCCTTTCCCTTTCCCCCTATAGATTTATAGCTTTCCATGTCATTTACTTGATCCTTCTCTCTAAATGCCCAAACCCACCTCAACAACCCCTCTTCTGCCCTCTGAAAAATGTTTTATTAACCCCACACCTTCTCCAAATTTTCCACACCCCAAATTTTCTGATAATATTTAACACCATTGCCTTAGACAGGACATCTCCCTGCCCCCAAACCGTTCCTCACTGCTGCTTTACCACCCAAGTTCACATCCTATAAGGTGTTGGTAACTATACTTTCATACATTCCCCTTTTTTGCCTTTGCAATTTTTTTTTTGAATCTCCATAAGCACGATCATCAGCAAAAGTAAAATTTGTCAATTCCCATTTTGAATTTGATTCCCCATAAATTTAAACCCCCCCCCCTTCCCCCCCCTGATTTACTTCTTTTACAACCCCCCTCATAAATATATTAAACACCATGGGCATTAAAATCCCTGTCTAAGACCTACTTTTACGGGAAGTATTTTCCCCCTCTTTTACCACCCCCCCTGAGCCTCCTTCCTCATAAAAAAATTTAACAGCATTTTTAAATTACACCTTTATTACTTGAAATCCCCCTTGTCCTCTATCCCCTTATATGCCTTTTCTAAATATAAATGCAAAAAAAACTTCCCCACCCTTTTCTAAATACGTTCAATATATGTTCAATGTAAACCTTGATCTACAATCCCCCACCCACTCTGAAACCTCCCCGTCTCCCCAGTTTTATTTTGTCTTACTTAAATTTTTTCAATTATAACCCTACCGTTTTACTTTTCTGGTATACTCGTAAAATTATTCCTCTTAAATTTTTTTAATCTTTTTTGTCCCCTTTCCCTTTTTAAAAAGGGACTATACATGCTCTTCCCCAAACCCCCAGGTACCTTTTCCCCCTTTTTATAATTTTTTAAAAAAAAAGTACCAACCACTCCAACACATACCCCTGCTTTTAAAATTTCTGTCATGTCCCCTCAGTTCCAGCTGCTTTACCCCCTTTCATTCTACGTAATGCCTCCGTACCCCACCCATTACATTTGCTCTTTTCACTCCTAAAGATGGTATACCCTTGGCCATTTTGAAATTACCGCCTCCCCTTTTTTCCTCAACATTTAAAAGCCTCAAATATTTTCGCCCTCTACCCCAATACCTCCCTCTCCCCCTCTACTAATTTCCCCACTCGTTTTTAACTGACAAATCCATACTTTCCCCGGTTTTTAACTTGTTTAACCACTCCAAAAAATTTTTTTTTTTTTCATTAAAATTTTTGCAGGCTCTCCCCCTCTTCATCGCTCTCCTTTTGCACTCTCTCACCACTCTTACCTTTCTTTTACTCTCCCAAACTTGCTCTTCTTATAACACTTTGCTTTGTAAAAACCTTCATAAATACCTTTTTCTTTTTTCACCCCTTTCTTATCTTCACCCCTCCTTTTCCTCCTGCCCCCACCCTCCTATAACAAAAAACTTTGCCCCACATTTAATACGCATTTTTTAACTATTCCAACCCCCTTCAACCCCCCCCTATCATCTTTTCATAGCCCCCTTTTGCCAATAGGCGTTTATCTCACCCGAACTTCCTCCTCCCTTAGTTTATACACTTTCACCTCCCTCTTACCTGTTGTTGCCACCTTCCTCTTTTCCCATCTACCTCTTACTCTAACTGTAGCTACAACTAAATAATGATCCGATATATCAGTTGCCCCTCTATAAACATGTACATCCTGGAGCCTACCCATCAACCTTTTATCCACCAATACATAATCTAACAAACTACTTTCATTTCGTGCTACATCATACCTTGTATATTTATTTATCCTCTTTTTCATAAAATATGTATTACTTATTATCAAATTTCTTTCTACACATAGCTCAATTAAAGGCTCCCCATTTACATTTACCCCTGGCACCCCAAATTTACCTACTACTCCCTCCATAACATTTTTACCCACTTTAGAATTGAAATCCCCAACCACCATTACTCTCACACTTGATTCAAAACTCTCCACGCATTCACCCAAACATTTCCCAGAATCTCTCTCTCTCCTCTACACTTCTCTCTTCTCCAGGTGCATACACACTTACTATAACCCACTTTTCACATCCAATCTTTATTTTACTCCACATAATCCTTGAATTTATACATTGTAGTCCCTCTTTTTTCCTGCCATAGCTTATCCTTCAACATTATTGCTACTCCTTCTTTAGCTCTAACTCTATTTGAAACCCCTGACCTAATCCCATTTATTCCTCTCCATTGAAACTCTCCCACCTCCTTCAACTTTGTTTCACTTAAAGCCAGGACATCCAGTTTCTTCTCATTCATAACATCCACAATCATCTCTTTCTTATCATTTGCACAACATCCACGCACATTCAGACTTCCCACTTTGACAATTTTCTTCTTCTTATTCTTTTTAGTAATCTTTACAGGAAAAGGGGTTACTAGCCCATTGTTCCCGGCATTTTAGTTGACTTTTATAACACACATGGCTTACAGAGGAAAGATTCTTATTCCACTTCCCCATGGATATAAAAGGAAAAGTAATAAAACCAAGAACTATTAAGATAAAATCAAAGAAAACTCCGATGAGTGTGTATAAATAAATGTGTACATGTATGTGTAGTGTGACCTAAGTGTAAGTAGAAGTAGCAAGACATGCCTGTAATCTTGCATATTTATGAGACAGACAAAAGACACCAGCAATCCTACCATCATGTAAAACAATTACAGGCTTTCGTTTTACACTCACTTGGCAGGACGGTAGTACATCCCTGGGTGGTTGCTGTCTACCAACCTACTACATGGAATTCACTCATATATTACATAAATCACAATCATAAGTCATAAATCCATATTCACAATCCATGTCCATAAATCATTCTATATCATCGGCCAGGAGTGTGAGCAAAGTTACGACAAATTGGAAAAAACCCTTGTTATTTAAACCAAAAGGATGGAGGAGGGTCAGGGAGGCTGGGGTTCTGGATTGTCAGGCTAAGCTGATCAAACCTCATCACCACAGTAAGGTGACCCAGCACTGACAGGACTTAGAAAATGTGCTGTGGATTTCTCACAGCCTATCACATGTTAGGGGCCCATGACTGTTCAAATGCCTCCCAGCATACATAAGGGGAAATTACAAACAGACCCCTGTCTCTCTTCAAGAAGGCACTAGACAGGCACCTAAAGTCACTACCTGATCAGCCGGGCTGTGGTTCGCATGTCGGTTTGCATGCGGCAAGCAGTAACAGCCTAGCTGATCAGACTCCGATCCACCATGAGGCCTGGTCTCAGACTGGGCCACAGGGGCATTGACCCCCAAAACCCTCTCCAGGTAAACTCCAGGTACCTTGTTTTTTGGTTCAGTGATCATACCACAAAATAAAAATCTGCCAAAGAATGGTTATGAAAAAAATTCAATGGATTTCCCCAAACATTAAAGATTTTCTCGGACCGAAACTTCGTTGTAAGCTCCTCTCTTCTATGTGTGGGTTATTTGTGTAAGATTTTCTCTGATTCTGATTTCTTATAAACACTGTTACACTATTAGAGCAATATTTAAAGTAGCAAGATCATATTAGCTCCACCAGTAATAGCAAGTCACATGGAGCACTTGTGCCACTTTATCTTTCTCACCAGGATCAATCTCCTCTAAAAACAAAAAAGTTTTGTGTCTTAACTAATGATCTTAGCCTTTTCAGTACTGGAATCCTTACCACTCAGTACAATTTTGGAACTCATGATGGTCTAAAATGTAATAAAAGAACTGACACAAGGCAAAAAATGAAAAATACATTATCCAGTTTCACTCAAAAATATCACCACAAATTATGTATGTAGCGAGTCCAACCCGACTCTTGTACCTTTAGCAATGAGTATGGCTGCCATATGCATCTGTTTGTTCATTCTGAGGACAAAAAGACCCATTAGCCTCAAGCAGGGGTGTGATAGCCATTAAGACTTTTCACTCAAGCAGGTTGTTGCTATGCAAGTTTATTTCTTAATGTATCATTTGCAATGAGGTAATGTTTAATGAGCTGTCATTCAGCATGGGTGACCTGTATCAGATAAAAGTAGGAAAGAATAATGCAAGAATCATGAAGGTAAAAGGTGAGAAATGCCAGTTGAAGTCTGTCAGTCATCATTCAACATGGGTGATCTCTACTAGATGGAATGAAGGAGGGATAGAGGAGAGAATAGCAAAGTTAAAGAATGAGATACATACGTATATGGGTCGAAGTTTCTGAATGAGGCCCAGAATTAGGAAAGAAAAACTTTGAAGAGCTACTGACATTAAGGAAACCATTTCAAAAAAGGAGATAGGAACAGCTATTACCAAAGGGAAAAACAGTAAAACTTGAGAAATATAATTTGCAGGAGTATGAAAAAGGGAAGAGTAGGAAGGGAAGAAAGGAGGGAAGGGAAGGAAGGAAAGAGGGAGGGAGAAAAGAAGAAGAGAAACATATTCAGAGAAGTCATGAGCAAATAATTAATATGACTAGGTAAAGTGTTTCAAGTTCAGGAAAGAAAAAATAAAACCATCTCAGTATGTTCCCATACATTGTGAAACATAATAAATAAGCAGCAAAACAAACCTAAGATGTTACTGGTAGCAAGAGGATCAAGGGCAGCGGGGACACCTAGGCCAGCAGGATCGGGGCTTGCTGCAGCAGGGGCACGACTACCAGTACCAGCCACAGCAGGAGGGTTGGAAGATGGGGCCAGGAGGCGCAGCAACCGGGCCTCAAACTGACCCAAGTTACCCGTGTGACCGTCCATGGCCGAGGCTTGGCCACCTAGCCCTGTTAACACACCATCAAGAATACTACACACACCACTCGCATCTCAGTTTGCCGGCAGACTTGCTACCTCGGTAAACATTCACAAATGGTATTTTTCTTCCATTATATGGCCTACGTTGAGGGATTAAATAATTAGGAATTTTCTGCTCATAACAATTAATATGTAAAAGATATTTTCAACATTCCAAAGGTTTAACTAACATATGTCACATATAATTTTTTTAAATATAAAACTGGTCTTTAAAAATTCAAAATAAATTCCCCTAATCTGTTCATTTAAAGGTAACAAGCAAGCATGAAGCAAGGTGTCACATGCTGTAGAGATAATTAGGATCTATTACACTTATAAAGTATTATGCAATAATCCTTGTAAAGCAATAACAATACATATATTGATTCCAAGGCAACACAACCAAGCAATAGCATTCCACTAAAAGAAATTAATTTTATATCAGTTAAATTGATAAAAAAAAAAGTTTCATACCTATCACTGAAGCTCATAAAGGAACATGTTTGCATTCCCAAAATGTCTATATAGCTATACAATAATTTTAACCCTCCTACACAAAACTACAAAACTACCCTAATTGATATTACTGAAGTTTATAATTTATAAAGAATTGTCAAACACATTACACCTATGAATTAAATTAACCAAGTAACCCTAAAGTCTCCCTGATGTTAATGAAACTGAGAATCACTGTCCACAGACCTTAACCTGACAATGCTGATAAAACTGCAAACTGGTTTTCACACACCCTAAATTTGACATTAACCAAACATACATCACAATCACTATAAACTGGCAACATTTTAAACCAATGAATATGTGTTGCATATGAGAACTGAAAGAAACTTTTTATTTTTTATTTAAACTGAGTATTATCACACCGGCCGATTCCCCACCAAGGCAGGGTGGCCTTGAAAAAGAAAAACTTTCACCATCATTCATCCTCACTGTCTTGCCAGAAGGGTTTTACACTCAGTTTTTATAACTGCAACATTAACACCCTCTTTAAGGGGCAGGACTGTACTTCCATCTCCAGGACTCCCAAGTCCGGCCTGCCGTTTCCCGAATCCCTTCATAAATGTTACCTTGCTCACACTCCAACACACGTCAAGTATTAAAAACCATTTGTCTCCATTCACTCCTATCAAACACGCTCACGCATGCTGCTGAAGTCCAAGCCATCCACACAAAACCTCCTTTACCCCTTTTCCTCCAACCCTTCCTAGGCCGACCCTACCCCGTCTTCTTCCACTACAGACTGATACACTCTTGAAGCATTTTGTTTCGCTCCATTCTTCTACATGTCGAACCACTCAACAACCCTTCCTCAGCCCTCTGGAAACATTTGGTAATCCCGCACCTTCCTCCTAACTTCCAAACTACGAATTCTCTGCATTATATTCACACCACACATTGCCTCAGACATGACTTCTCCACTGCTCCAGCCTTCTCTGCCTGCAACATTCATCACCCGCTTCACACCCATATAGAGCGTTGGTAAACTATAACTCTCATACATTCCCTCTTTGCTCCAAGGACAAAGTTCTTTTGTCTCCACAGACTCCTCAGTGCCCACTCACTCTTTTTCCCTCATCAATTCTATGATTCAACTCATCTTTCTAACCCATCCGCTGACACGTCCAACTCCAAATTCTGAATACGTTACCTCTCAATACTCTCTCCCTCCAATCTGATATTCAATCTTTCATCACCTAATCTTTTTGTTATCCCTCATTAACCTTACTCTTTCCTGTATTCACCTTTAAAATTTTCTTCTTTTGCACACCCTACAAATTCATCCACAATCTCTGCACTTCTCTCAGAATCTCCCAAGAGCACAGTGTCATCAGCAAGAGCAGCTGTGACAAACCACTTTGTGTGTGATTCTTTATCTTTTAACTCCACGCCTCTTGCCAAGACCCTCGCATTTATTCTTTACAAACCCCATCTATAAATATATTAAAAAAACCACGGTGACATCACACATCCTTGTCAAGGCCTACTTTTACTGGGAAAAAATTCCCCTCTTTCCTACATACTCTAACTTGAGCCTCACTATCCTCGTAAAACTCTTCACTGCTTTCAGTAACCTACCTCCTACACCATACACTTGCACATCTGCCACATTGCCCCCCTATCCACCCTGTCATACGCCTTTTCCAAATCCATAAATGCCACAAAGACCTCTTTAGCCTTATCTAAATACTGTTCACTTATATGTTTCACTGTAAACACCTGGTCCACACACCCCCTACTTTTTATTAATATATAAACTGAGAAAAAAAAAGTTGCAGTATGGGCTCAAGAGTTGGCCACACCTGTATGTTCTCAACTTTGCCACTTGCTTACTCATACCTCTCAGAGCAAGCAGATGCTGCCTGTCTATATTTTTTCCTCCTTGTGAAATAACCTATCAAATACTTTCACTTGTATGACTTTTATCTCTGTAGACTGCTAAAATAATTTTTCTTCATTCTCTGAATAAGCAGCTAATTACTATACATAAAGTACAAAGTTACCTAGTTTCTAATTGTCTTACACATCACAAGCTGTTATTAGAGAAAAACATTTTTAGCTTCCATTCCCTTTCAATGTCCTCTAACTTCTCTCTATAACCTAAAATACTAAACCCCTTCCATTACTTTTTTATATAACATATTAAACATCCACAGTAACATCATAAGAATATTTTTCTCCTTGGTAGTTTGACTAAATTCATTGCTTTTATGTACTGCATTTGAAAGTATGGTGTATGTGTAGTTTGGTAATACTTGTTAAAATGCATAAAGCAATGTGGATTGTTGTCTGTATTTTGGATGTGCTAACTATACAAGAATAATAAATTTTTACCAAATTCCATTCTTGTATATGACAGGACATGCTACACTGTGCCCAGATTCATCGAGTACAGTCAATTATTAAAGCCTGAATGAAAAAATTTTCACATTTAACCACAATTATAAATAATACCTTTTCTGGCAAGTGTAGGCGCATATCTGGAGTGCCTGTGTCGTGGTCGATGACGTCTCTCATCAAGCCTCCGTTGTAGCTGATCTTGTAAACGTCCACAAGCTCTCCCAAAGATATTTCCTGTTACACAAAATATATTTTTAGAAAATACAAACTAAATTATATCTTTTTTTTTTTTAACAAGTCGGCCATCTCCCACTGAGGCAGGGTGACCCAAAAAGAAAATACTTTCATCATCATTCAACACTTTCACCTCACTCACACATAATCACTGTTTTTGCAGAGGTGCTCAGAATACAACAGTTTAGAAGCATATACGTATAAAGATACACGACATATCCCTCCAAACTGCTAATATCCCGAACCCCTCCTTTAGAGTGCAGGCATTGTACTTCCCATTTTCAGGACTCAAGTCCAGCTATGTAAAAATAACTGGTTTCCCTGAATCCCTTCACTAAATATTACCCTGCTCACACTCCAACAGATCGTCAGGTCCCAAATACCATTCGTCTCCATTCACTCCTATCAAACACGCTCATGCACGCCTGCTGGAAGTCCAAGCCCCTCACCCACAAAACCTCCCTTACCCCTTGCTTCCAACCTTTTCGAGGACAACCCCTACCCCGCCTTCCTTCCCCTACAGATTTATACGCTCTCCATGTCATTCTGTCATAAATTAATGCCCAGGGAGCCATGAATAAAAGAGTAAAATTAGTTAAAGATATCAACATGAAATCTTTTGATGTTAATTTTGATACTCTATGAAGATGAAACACACACACAATGACTTTTTTTTGACCCATCAACTTGGAGAGCCAGAGATCACAGCTTTTAAGTATAAAAACAAAAAGTGCCAAAAGAACATAAGAAAGTTTGTTACAACCTTATGGAAATTTAAAGAACTCAACAACATGTAAAGTAAAAGGACACAAGTGCAACTAATGTGACATTTATTGTGGCAACGTTTCGCTCTCCTGGAGAGCGAAACGTTGCCACAATAAATGTCACATTAGTTGCACTTGTGTCCTTTTACTTTACATATTGTCGGTAATTCTACCAACTTTATTACAACTCAACAACAAATGGGCCCCCATGAGTATAGCGCTGCTCCTGTAACTACAAACAGATAATCACACTGAACCTAACTGCAAGAGACCCTTCAATAAAATTTTAGTATAAATGAAGAATAAAAATATTTAAGGGACTGAATTTGGGGATTCATCTAACTTTTTTCTTATCTTTTCAAAAAATTATCTAAAAATTCTTGAACTGTAACTCCTTACCTCCAAGATTCCCAACTTCTGGGAACCCAAAAAGTCCTGAGTGCTGTCCTTGCATTAGAGAGAAAGGATCCTGATCGCTATCCCCTTCAATCTCGTCTGCACATGCTCTACAGCATCCACACTCGGCACAACCTGAGTCACCAGATCCACAACCGCAAGGCCTAAAGGCAAATTCACATTATATAATTAAAATACAGGAAAAAAATTTGTCTTTAAGTTTTTATCTTTTCCTCAATGGCTGTTTCCCACCAAGGTAGGGTGACCCAAAGAAACATACACATTCATCATCATGCATTCAATCGCAGTCTTTTCAGAAGTGTGCCGACATCCTTTTAAATGATGGCCTATAATAATACTTGCATACTCAAAAAATAAACTTTTTTACAGGTTCACAATAATTTCTAAGCAGAATATTATGTTCATCTTACTTGAACACAAAGGTCTGATATTTTAGCCAGTGTGATGTAACACCTGCAATTTGTCTTTGGACTCTGTTGGGCTTATGCCTCAAAAATAAATTCACTGCTGCCTACTGCACTGTATATGTTGGGTTTAAACTTCTAAAACACCACTGCTATTCACTAAGAACAATATTTTATAGAGATTACACATTGCTAAATTTATTAACTAATGAGTATAATGACACAATATGCAGAACAAGCTTTTATTATAACTACAATTTACTCAGAATTGAGCTTTATCAAGGAATGAGCTGATGAAGGTCAATTTATTAACTTAACCAAGTTTACAATATGCTTAACATCAATGATACTAACTGTCCAGAGTTACGGTCAGGCCTTCCACTAGATACACAAGCAGCTCCATAGCCTGTACACTCATGACATACAGTGCACACAAGGCAGTGGTCACGAACCCATCGATGACGTCCTGGAGGACACATCCCACTTTCACCTCCTTCCTCACTCTCAACACCATCTTCATCATCCACTTCTTCCTCTCCTGCTGGTCCTACAGACATTGACATGCCTGAGAAATAAAAAGATAACTTATATACTAAAAAAAAAAAAAACTTTTACTTGAAATTGTGCCAAATTTACAGATAACAGTAGCGGTACTGCGTATGAAATATGATGCCATAGTGTGTGAATAAAGTGAATAAAATGAGAATAGTAATGTAACAAGAGTTGGAGGTAAGCCGCCTTTTTTTTTTTAACACACTGCCTGTCCCCCACTAAGGTAAGGGTGACCTGAAAAAAAGAAAAAACACATTCACTATCACTCACTCCATCATCGTCTTGCCACAGGCATACCAATACTACAGTTCAGATGCCCCTCCAAACTGTAAATACCCCCACCCTTCCTTCAGAGTGCAAGCACTGCACTTCCCACCTCCAGGACTCAAATTTGGTTAACCGGTTTCCCTGAATCCTCTCATCAACATTACCATGTTCACACTCCAACAGAACGTTAAGTCATAAAAACCACTTGCCTCCAATCACTACTATCTAACATGCTCACACACACCTGCTGGAAGTCTAAGCCCCTTGCATACAAAACCTCCTTTACCCCCTCCCTCCAACCTTTCCTAGGACAACCCTTACCCCGCCTTCCTTCCACTAAAGATTTATAAGCCCTCCAAGTCATCCTGTATTGCTCTATCCTCTATTTATGTCCAAACTGCCTCAACACCTCCTCAGTCCTCTGGATAATACTTTTAGTAAGCCCACACTTTTTCCTAATCTCCAAACTATGAATGCTCTGCATAATATTACCACCACACATTGCCCTCAAAGATGACATCTCCACTGCTTCCAGCTTCCTTCTTGCTGCAACATTCACAACCCATGCTTCATACACGTAAGTGTGTTAGTACTGCTACTCTCATACATTCCCCTTTTTGCCTCCATGGATAACATTCTTAGTCTCCACAGATGCCTCGATGCACCACCCACCATTTTTCCCTTGTTAATTCTATGGTTCACCTTGTCTTTCCTAGATCTGTCTGCCAACAAGTCCACTCCCAAATATATTAACACATTCATTTCCTTCATACTTCCTCCTTAAAATCTGACAATCTTTCATTACCTAATCACCTTGCTTTTTCCTTCAAAAGGAAAGATGAAAAGGATGAAAACCTTTAATCATCCCTACCACCACCATCTTAATCTCAAGTTTCCTTCATGAAATGGGAGGATACCCACCAAGGAATGAAAAGTATTACAAGAACAGAGGGCAAATGTCATCTGAAGTGACACCTGACCTTTAACACTACAGTCCACATCTGGCAGCAAATTAATACAAAACCAACACACACTAAAGCAAATATTCACAGTAGCACTTAAGGTTTAAGGTAGCCTTCTAAGTAGCACTTGAAAAAGCAGTTCAAGTGAAGTGTCACAACAAAAAATAACATTCATTTATTCCTAACAGTTATATGTTTCCAATCAATCTTATGTGTAATCATAACAAGACCTGCATATGCTTACCTGTTCCTTCCTTAACTTGGGGTACGAAGTCCCTTCCACACTGGCCCTTATTATTAATGCCAAAGCTGAAGACTTGACCTTTGTTGGTTAAAGCCAGAGCATGAGCTTTGCCAAGTGATACAGCACTGACATGAACATCACGAAGGTCTGTAACTAGTCCTGTAGAAGTTTATAACAGTTAAAAAGAGAAAACAAAAATCCAAGTCACACTATAAGCTGTTTAAAAGAGAAAACTGAAAATCCAAGCCACAATATCACGTTCTACTTTATTACTAGAAACATGAATGTGATCTTTCACATCCTCGTAGTTGCCTTGCTATGGAGTTAATGTATTCACGGATTGTGTTTATCATTTGTCTGTAATGAACTCATACAGTTTTTAACCTAAATGCATGAAACCTAGTAAACTTAATGTTCAGAACAAATGAATATATATACTGTACATGTTATCTATTCATTCTTCTACAATAACTTTTGATAGTTGCATCCACAAATATACTTAGTGTTAATCCAATGCACAAAATAAATGTCAAACTGGCTTACATTTGACAAATTAGTTAATATACAGTAGTACCTTGACTTACAAGAGCCCCAACTTACGAGTTTTCAGAGATACAAGCCGTCACTCGGTCGATTTTTTGCTTTGAATTGCGAGCCAAAATACGAGTCATGAGAGATCTTCAGATACGCCACCACTAGTTGATGCAGCGAACACTACAACAGTGCATGTGGTTACCGAGCCGTGGAAGCATCTCTCATGTTGTGCTTGCGTTTTGTGCAGTTATTTTGCCAAATTTCTTTTTTCTAACCATGGGTCCTAAGAAAGTAAGTGCAAAGGACATTGTTGAGAAGTAGAAGAGGATGATGTCCATTGAATTAAAGCATGAAATCATAGAAAAACGTGAGCGAGGTGTGCGTGTAGTCGACTTGGCGAGGCAGTACAAGCGTAGTATGTACTTTGTGCCATGTACCTTCTCGCAGAGAAGGCACGAGGCATTTACACTGATTTACTTTTGAGATATTCACCCAGAACATAGGTTGGTCTCCTGATTCAGGGAAAAAAAAATGCCGAGAAAATGGCTTTTGTTTTAGTGTTTTCCTTATGAAACTAGTGATCTAGTGCAGTTAGCCTTACAAACACCTTGTTTTCTCTTATAATAAAATCTCAGAAGGGCAAGAATGGGAAGATATGGTCAGAGAGAATTATTTTTACCTCGGGAATGGCCGCCACCACTCATCACATAATGACATTTTATTCATTCTAGAGTATGTATATATCATGTTTCTATGTTATTTATATTGTTTATTATGTCATATTAGATCAATTGTGATAGATAAATAAGCTGAAGAGTTGATATTAACTTTTTTTTTTTTTTTTTTTTTCAACAAGTTGGCCATCTCCCACTGAGGCAGGGTGACCCAAAAAGAAAGAAAATCCCCAAAAATAAAATACTTTCATCATCATTCAACACTTTCACCTCACTCACACATAATCACTGTTTTTGCAGAGGTGCTCAGAACACAACAGTTTAGAAGCATATACGTATAAAGATACACAACATATCCCTCCAAACTGCTAATATCCCAAAACCCCTCCTTTAAAGTGCAGGCATTGTACTTCCCATTTCCAGGACTCAAGTCCGGTTATATAAAAATAACCGGTTTCCCTGAATCCCTTCACTAAATATTACCCTGCTCACACTCCAACAGATCGTCAAGTCCCAAATACCAGTCATCTCCATTTACTCCTATCGAACACGCTTATGCACGCCTGCTGGAAGTATTTTCTCCTGCCTTCCGAGAGCCAGGAATTCCACTGGAATGGATTAATGGCATTTCAATATATTTCGTTGAGGAAAATTGATTTGATATATGAGCATATTGGGTTACGAGCTGGGTCATGGAACGAATTAAACTTGTAAGTCAAGGTACCACTGTATTTTGAAACAGTATGTAAATCAAATTTAAAGAAAATATGATTTTGACTGTCCATGGAGGCTAATATGGAAATACCTCATTAAACATATTAATCATGTCTTATCTCTGACTAAATTCACAATGTAGCACTTTATACTAATCTACCACCACAATGTCCTTTCAGTAAATATATTTTCCTATACTGTACATTAAATCTTACCTGTAGAGCTATCACAATGTGAGGTATCCTTGCCAAACATGTAGAGTTCTCCATCACGAGTCACTAGTGCAGATGTTCCATTATTACATGCACCGCTCACAACAAACTGTCCATCCAACTTGATCATCTTTTTAGGTTTCACTGGTTTAGGCTGTCGGCGACCTTTACCTGAGGTTAATAAATGTAAGTACTGTACAGTATAGTAAATTAAACTGTACTGGACGATTGACTATTAAGATGAAAATAACAAATTAATGTAAATTTGTCTGGTATGGTGAATTCTTTACAGACAGATTTTTTTTTTAACATACTGGCTGTCTCCCACCAAGGTAGGGTGACCCAAAAAGGAAACACTTTCACCATCATTCACTATCACTGTCTTGCCAAAGGCACACAGATACTACAGTTCAGATGCCCCTCCAAACTGCAAACATCCCCACCCTGCCTCCAGAGTGCAGGCAATGTACTGTTCATCTCCAGGACTCGAATCCGACTAACTGGTTTTTCCGGAATCCCTTTACAAAATGTTACCCTGCTCACATTCCAACAGCTTATCAAGTCCCAGAAACCATTTGCCTCTACTCAGTCCTATCTGACAGGCTCACTCATGCCTGCTGGATATCCAAGCCTCTTGCATGCAAAAACCTCCTTTACCCCCCCTCCCTCTAACCTTTCCTAGGCTGATCCCTAATCTGCCTTCCCTCCACTACAGATTTATACTCTCTTCAAGTCATCCTGTTTTGCTTTACTCTCTCTGAATATCCAAAGCACCTCAATAACCACTCCTCAGGCCTCTGGATAATACTTTTATTAACCCCCTACCTCCTCCTAATCTCCAAGAAACAAATTATTTGGATAATACTTACATCATACATTGCCCTCATACACGACATCTCAACTGTCTCCAGCCTCCTCTTCGCTGAAACATTCACAACCCATACTTCACACCCATATAAGAGTGTTGGTTCCACTATGCTCTCATACATTTCCCATTCTGCTTCCATGGATAATGTTCTTTGTCCCTACAGATTCTTCAATGCATCACCCACCTTTTTCCCATCATCAATTCCATGGTACACCACGTCTTTCATATACCCATCCATCAACATGCCAACTCCCAAATATCTGAACACATTCACTTCCTCCATACTCCTCCTTTCCAATCTCATAATCAATCTTGCATTAGTCAACTTGTGTGTTACCCTTATCACCGTGCTCTTTCCTATGTTCACTTTTAGTTTAATTCTATTACATACCCTCCTAAATTCATCCACCAACCTTTGCAACTTCTTTTCAGAATCTCCCAAAAGAACAGTATCATTGGCAGAAAGCAACTGTTACAACTCCCATTTTGTATTAGATTCTACACATTTTGATCCCACACCCATGTATTATATTATTGCCACTAAAAAAAAAAAAAATGGGTCATAACTAGGTTGCAATCTCCTCTACAAAATAAACAGTTCATTCATCTACTCTATTTTTATAGAGAAAATTGCAACCCAATTATGACCAATGTTTTTAAAGTGGTAATGAGATTCTTCTTTTGAAATTATATTCCACACCATATTGTGCACATCAACTATATGAAGCAATTGTACAATATGAAATGACTAACATTTCTTGCTAGTAATGTACCAATAGAGCACTTGAGGTTCCTGAACCTGTATTCCCTGGAACGCAGGCGGGAGAGATACATGATTATATACACCTGGAAAATCCTAGAGGGACTAGTACCGAACTTGCACATGAAAATCACTCACTACGAAAGCAAAAGACTTGGCAGACGATGCAACATTCCCCCAATGAAAAGCAGGGGTGTCACTAGCACGTTAAGAGACCATACAATAAGTGTCAGGGGCCCGAGACTGTTCAACTGCCTCCCAGCATACATAAGGGGGATTACCAACAGACCCCTGGCAGTCTTCAAGCTGGCACTGGACAAGCACCTAAAGTTGGTTCCTGACCAGCCGGGCTGTGGCTCGTACGTTGGTTTGCGTGCAGCCAGCAGCAACAGCCTGGTTGATCAGGCTCTGATCCACCAGGAGGCCTGGTCACAGACCGGGCCGCGGGGGCGTTGACCCACGGAACTCTCTCCAGGTAAACTCCAGGTAATACCCAGTGGGGTCTGACAAAGACCCATGGTGGCCTCTGTAATCCACTGTTTGTGCCACCATTTACAGGATGAGCATGGGGCATACATACCCTCTCCCATTGAGGTGGGGTGGAAAAAAGAAACATGTTTACCATCATTTAATCACTGTCTTGCCAAAAGCATGCTGACATCATATACAGTACTGTATTTACAGTATACAAAACAAGAAAAAGTGAGAAAATAACAAAAATATATAGTCTTTTCAATTTAAAAGCTTTTGTTAGTGTGGTAAATAAGTAAAATACTCACTGGCATCTCCATCTTCTCCTCGTCGTGCAGTTCCAACAAAAAATGCAGCTCCATCATCTGAAATAAGCACTGCATGCTGTCCTTCATGCCCAACTGCTAAATGCACAATACGTGGAGATTTTGTAATGGTGAGCTCTGGCCACCTTCCACTTGGCATATTACTTGTGGTAGGGGCATTAAGAGCAGTAGCAGCTTGGCTACCACTACCACCACCACCACCATAACTAGTGCCTAGAGGACATGCACCACTATTGCCACTTGCAGCACCGCTGTTACCACCACCGCCACCACTACTACCTTGTTTCATCCCAACTGAAGAAGCCTTTCCATTATAATATATCTAAAAAGAAATGAATAAATCACATTAGCTATTAATAAAACATGATTTTCTATAATATTAGTCACTGTTTCTAAACCGCAACATGTTATGTAATGTACTGCAATTGTATGACTTACTCGGCCACCAAGAGTCCTCACAAGAGTAAAATCCTTGCCAGCAGCCACTGTGACTATGTCTTCATCTAGTCCTGCAGACAATGTTGAGTGTTGTTCAGGCCCACCCAAAATCTGTTGAAAGACAGTGCCTTAGATATACCATACTTCAATTTGCACTATGTTTGGGTGTTCATCAGTGTCATAAAATCTTTGGAGAAGGTTCAGCATATGTGAAAAATTTTATATGTAAAATTATGATAATCATGAAAAGTGCTAAAAACAAGGAAGGAGAGATTACTTTAGTGTACACAGAAAGCTAACCCTGAAGTAAACTCAAATCTACACTGAGTAATTCTGAGAACATTTCATTAATGCTGAGAGCAAAGCAAACATGATTTGTAACTGGCAAGAAGATACCTTATTTGTTCCAAATTTATTACAATTTGATGATATTAACAGTGGATTTCAGCAGAATTGTACAATAACATATGATTCTACTGTACTTGATTATTTCCAATTATTTTTTGATGAGATACTTGTGTATGAAGATTACTAAAAAAAGTCTTGAAATATCATACATTTTATATCATAAGAAACTAGTGCTAGACAATGAAAAAAATAGAAAACAACCATAATTTGGTAAGGATGTTGCAGTTGGAGGGAAATCTGAATTGTGATGTCAGAACACATCTGGAAAGACAGACTGAATGAATGATGGGAAGTGTGTTTTCTTCTTTGGATCATCCTACCTTGACTGGAGGCCATTCGTTTAAAAAAAAAAATTGTGAAACATAAGTACCGCTACGCACATTTATGCCACTGTTGCCAATGAGTGATTATTTTTTCTGCATCTTCAAGTTTACTTTTGATTTCATTTTTCTTTTCATAGCTCTGTTTAGAAAAATATCCCTTACAAACTGTAAAAAATACTTTTTTTTCAAACTTTCCACATGGGAAAAACTAACAATACAAGGCCTTCCACAATTAACAGGTTAACATATAGCATAATTGATTATGACTGAATTTTGACTTGTATTTTTTCTCAGAAGCTTTTGATCAAATTCATTTTTTGTACGTAAGAGTTTGGTGCATGTGTGGTAAGACATTTTCTGAGTAAACATTAGTCAAGAGATGTAGAATTTTGCAAAGTTTCAGCACCTATCCCTACATTTTACTTGTTACTCTAAGTTAGCATTATGTGATTTCACTGTATGCACCATGGGTCAGGAACTCACCTATCACATGAAGCTAGGGACACCTGTAATTAGAAGAGTGACCACAAGGACACAGCCTTGCCTTTGGGACAGCTCTAGCAGTATTACAGCAAATATTATGTAACAAAATTTTATCTACACTATGTAAGAAAAATACCAATGAAAATATTAACAGAACTGAAACACCTGAGAGCTTTTGTGTGTTTGCATAAACATTGTCAGAATAGATTCATCATTAGAACAGTTTATGGAGCAGTGACCAGAAAGCTATATGTCTTCAAAATAACAGAAATCTGCATTACCAGATTTATTAGTTTTATTTTTTTATTATTAACACACTGGCCGATTCCCACCAAGGCAGGGTGGCCCGAAAAAGAAAACTTTCACCATCATTCACTCCATCACTGTCTTGCCAGAAGGGTGTTTTACACTACAGAGTATATAATTATATTACCTATTAATAACTTAGACAACAAAAACCATCAGTTTTTTTGTCATTATAAACCATCTAATTCAACTAACTCAAAATGAAATTACACTGAACTTAGTTTCTGTACATTTGCCTTACCTGTATACATTTAATAGCCAAGTTGAGACTCAGCTCATTTACAAGAGGCATAGGCTTCACAAGAGGATTGTAAGTCCTGACCACAAAACCATCCTGAAACAAAAAAATACATATAGAACATATAACTGAGGGTGTGTGTGTAGTGTGTGGGGCGCATGCATTTGCATGTGTGTGATGCATATGCATGTGATACACACACATGCCAGACTAGACAAACCAGACTAGACATGACTCTGGCACCCAGCCAAGCTAGACATCTGCTCCAGAGCAGCTGGTACTTGGATGGTGATTAGTTTTAGATTTCCTCTCCTAAATGCACTGACCAACTAAAGATAATAGAATGTTCATAATTTTCAGCAGCAACAAAATATTCTACAAACATATATCTCAGGCCAGAGGAGGCTTGAACCTATGAACTTTGGGATAAAGTATACAGTACTATCCACACCAACCCAGATCAGACAAGACTCTGGTGCCCATCAAAGCTGGGCATTTGCTGTCCGGTCTGGCTAGGTGTGAATGTTGTGTTTTTTTTTCACACCATTATCTGTAAATTCTAGAGACTGTAACGTATGAAAATATCAGGAAATCAGCAGCTTCTGGGATATTTAAACCACCCTGTCCGGCACCATCAATCATTCCATGGTCAAAGTCACTTAGATCATATTATTTCCCTATTCTTAACCTCGGTCTGAACAACAACTGAACCTCTTGACCATATCTACAAACTTTCAGGCATTGAGGTGTTGCCACATGATTGGCTGATTAAATATTTACATTACAACAAGATGTACCTATAAAGTGGACACTGAGTGTATATGTACTTAACACAGTGCCAGCATGTGTGTCGATAATTTCACATTAATATGAAAATAGGTTAGAAAGGCACTTGTTCCAGAGGAACTCGATTATAGACAAGTTTTTCTCATCACCAAGTGTTTTCTAACATAATTGTTAGCATTACAATATGAAAATAAATTACAGAAAAACTACTAAGGTATCAGTAAAGACCGAAAATAATAAATAAAATACTATTAACAAAGATCTAGAACATTCCTTGTTGTAACACATCACATGGCCTCTTCAGCTGGAATGAGTGAGGAATGAGCCAACCACCACCACAGCAATGTGTGGCAATCTTCAATGATCAGATTACTACAAGTCACTTGCTTGTGAAAAGTTTTATGGAGATTCCCAATGACTTGGGGAGAATTATCATGTTAAAATCAAATTAGTCTTCAGACAAGTTAATTTATAGAACTGATGCAATTTGGTGCTACATACTTCTCTGTCAGGAGAGATGTGCCCGATGTTAATACCATCACTAAATGGTAACCCTCGAGACCATCCTGGAGCTGAACACTGGTACACTTCTGAGACCTTTAACACCTCACGATCTATAACAACTAATTCACCATTACTTCCTTCTGGCCGGTAAAACACATCACCCTGCAAAAACAAAGAAATTACATAAAACAATATTTTTCTTAATACAACAACTAATAGTTTACATAGCCATTTACTTACACATGGCCTTGTGAATGTTTACAATTATGTAATACTCAAATACTGATTTATCCCTCTACCCATAATTCGACTATTTTACTTACATGAGCAAAACCAAGCCATCCTTTTTGCTTTGGATAAAAGTCTGGTCGATGGATATAAACATGACCTTTCATTGTTCCACCAAAGCCAGAGCCAATCTTGAAAAGTCCATGAGCATTGTGAATATAGAGGTAATGACCATCACAGGTCATTGTACTGTCTTCCTTAGACTCCTCTCCATCTGGTAAAGAAATAAAATTCAGGGAAAGTTGAGGCACATGGAGAAATGCTACTGTTTGCAGTTACATCATATATTATTATTCTGCTTTAAAAAAAAAATCCTTTCAAAATTACACTTAATATTTTCCCCCTCAAAGGTAATTTCCCGTTAAGGCAGAGTGACCTGAAGAAGTCAACACATTTACCATTATTCATTCAACAGATGTCTTGCCAAAAGTGTTCTGACATCAAAAGTCAAATTATTCTCTGACTGGAACATCCCCATCCTTCCTTCTGGGAGCAGGCACTGCCATTCCCACTTCCAGGACATAAGTCCAGCTAACCAGATTCACTGAATCACTTCAAGAAAGTTACCTTGCTCATGCTTCAACAGAATGTTCATTAAAAACCAACTGTCTCCACTCACTCCAATTTCCCACATTTACCCAAGCCTGCTGAATGCTCAGGCCCTTAACACTTAAAATTTCCTTTAACTCCCTCCCTACAACTGTTCCTAGAAAGAAAGCATTTTTTGCTTCTCTGTACTGATATGATTTGGAAATAATCTTAAACTATCATTATTTGTCACGTTTGACTGGGCAATATTACAGAAAATTTCCAACCCAATATTGTTTCAGTTTCACAAATGTAATGAAGAGAACAAAAGGAATAGAAATGCAGAAATATGAGTCACACATCAGTAGATATATTATTGAGGAAAATTCACATTCTGCTTTAAACTTGACAGATGGAGTTAGATTGTCAAGAAAATAAGAAAGGGTTGAAAGATATTAGTCATGTTGCAGCATACCAAAGACACCATTTACATAGTTTATCCAGAGAAAATGGACATACACCAAGATTGGTAGGCAGAAGTTTCAAAATAATCTACATATAGACTTAGTTATGTATTTCTATAATCTTTTAGCCCTTAAACTGTCCAAGCACATCTACGTTCATATGCGTAGTGCTCCAAAAGTAGATCTACATTTTTTTATATATTTTCAAATATAACAAAAAAAAACATAGTTCAAAGTTTTTTTACACATTTTCAAACGTAAAAAAAAAAAGATATACTTTTTTTATATACTTTCAAATGTTGAGAAAACGTAGATCTACGTTTGGACAGTTTAAGGGTTAAGAAAAACAAGCCCACAGTAGGGCTGTCAAAGTTGTCTCCCAAACACAGTTTATGGATATAGATTAAAAATCATTTAAGATACAAATGAATTTATGAACAATTCTGGAACACACTGTGTGCTCCTATAAACATGCTGAGCTAAAAGCAGCTTTTTTTACCTGTCATGATTTTAACAGAGAATTTGTCAATTAATGCAGATTTTGGCACTCCACATATCAGCCAGTCAGGACGAGAAGTTTTGCCCAGCAGTACTGCGTGAACACTACGCTGAAGGAATGTCAAAATCACTGGTACCTGAGAGGAAAAAGTAAAACCTTTGTCTAATAATACTGTGGCAATAGCATAAATGATGTAAAACTTTCAATAATAATTTTAGGTAAACAAATCAACTTTTAATTGATGCTTTCCTTTAGTATTTAACAAGTTCTCTAATAAATCATTAGAGAACTTCAGTTCTTCTGTACTTTAATTATAAACTTGGCAGCTTACTGCAACTACTAACTCCAAGATTTACTCTGGTTTTCATTTGGACAAATTTATTTACCAGGCCTGGTCACAAACCGGGCCGCGGGGGGCGTTGACCCCCGGAACTCTCTCCAGGTAAACTCCAGGTAAAGCAAAACACCACCATTAATTTCTCCCAGTCTAGTAGGTCCTTGTTATAATCTCAAAACCTTTATATAAAATGACTATGTACCAAATGAAGCTGTAGTCTGCTCCTTTATATAGCTCAATTTTGAAGTATCATATATGAGTAACTGCCACTCATTTAAAGAAGAGAAAAATTACAATTACCACATCCAGGTCACAAATATTTTAAATTCATTGTCGAAAACATATTCAGAGTGGATGAAAAAGTTGCCTGACAGTTCCAGCAGCCACAAATAAAAAAATATTAAGAATACAGGCTTTAACTGGGCATTTAACAGGGGACCCTAGATATCAGATTTGTACAGTATGCAAAATGCTTTAACCCCTCGACTGTCGCAACCCCCAATCCTGAAGGGTCTCCTGGTGTTGCAAAATAAAAAAAAAAAAAAATTCTTATGAAATGATAGAGAATTTTTTCCCGATTGTAATGACACCAAAAACACGAAATTAGATGGAAAACTGACGGAATTACGCTCTCAAGAAGTTAGCGACCTCGGCGATATTTACAAATCAGCAATTTCACCCAGTTTAAGCCCTATTTTCGGCTAATTCCATTGTTCCAGTCGACCAAACTCAGCTATTTCTTTAGAACTCCATTTTTTCTATCGATTGAGTACAAGAAACTGCCCATTTACCTATTTCAACTACCCAATAACGTGGTCAGAAATTTGAAATTTGGCCAATTTCACGAAAATTAAAAAATATGACAATTTCAAAATAAGGTCCAGAATGAACAATGCAGACATTCCTGGCTCTAAAATAACATTTTCTTTGTTCATCAGTCACGTCTCCAGGCCCCTCTGATATTACTCTTGCTTTCTATTTTGAATTTTTATTCAAACAAAAAATAGAAGATTTACTGTTATGCCGACTACTGCAATACTGTAATAATTGTATAAATAATGTCAACCCATTCATGACTGCATATTAGAATGGCTAGTTGGACATTTATTGGACAATGACATCATTTGTTTACTTTTGAACATCGGCAAAAATCAAACATTTCCCCTACTTTGAGCTCCATTTCCAGGTTCTTTTTATAGTAAAATCAATCAAAATCACCTCTATTTCTATAATATGTTTTCCATTCTATCAAATGAGACCAAGAAAACGAGAATACAACTATAAATACTATACGAAAATAGACCACAAATTCGGCATTTAAATTAAAAAAAAAACGGTCGGAGTTATTTTTTCTCATTATGCACTGCGTGCTCCAGGACTTTTTTTATATGGTGTACACTGACCACACAGACCCATTATCCCACATGTGGGCCTACCAGCTTTCTCCTGCTTGATTTGAAGCCGCTAGAATTTTTATTTTATTTATTATCACACTGGCCGATTCCCACCAAGGCAGGGTGGCCCGAAAAAGAAAAACTTTCACCATCATTCACTCCATCACTGTCTTGCAAGAAGGGTGCTTTACACTACAGTTTTTAAACTGCAACATTAACACCCCTCCTTCAGAGTGCAGGCACTGTACTTCCCATCTCCAGGACTCAAGTCCGGCCTGCCGGTTTCCCTGAATCCCTTCATAAATGTTACTTTGCTCACACTCCAACAGCACGTCAAGTATTAAAAACCATTTGTCTCCATTCACTCCTATCAAACACGCTCACGCATGCCTGCTGGAAGTCCAAGCCCCTCGCACACAAAACCTCCTTTACCCCCTCCCTCCAACCCTTCCTAGGCTGACCCCTACCCCGCCTTCCTTCCACTACAGACTGATACACTCTTGAAGTCATTCTGTTTCGCTCCATTCTCTCTACATGTCCGAACCACCTCAACAACCCTTCCTCAGCCCTCTGGACAACAGTTTTGGTAATCCCGCACCTCCTCCTAACTTCCAAACTACGAATTCTCTGCATTATATTCACACCACACATTGCCCTCAGACATGACGTCTCCACTGCCTCCAGCCTTCTCCTCGCTGCAACATTCATCACCCACGCTTCACACCCATATAAGAGCGTTGGTAAAACTATACTCTCATACATTCCCCTCTTTGCCTCCAAGGACAAAGTTCTTTGTCTCCACAGACTCCTAAGTGCACCACTCACTCTTTTTCCCTCATCAATTCTATGATTCACCTCATCTTTCATAGACCCATCCACTGACACGTCCACTCCCAAATATCTGAATACATTCACCTCCTCCATACTCTCTCCCTCCAATCTGATATTCAATCTTTCATCACCTAATCTTTTTGTTATCCTCATAACCTTACTCTTTCCTGTATTCACCTTTAATTTTCTTCTTTTGCACACCCTACCAAATTCATCCACCAATCTCTGCAGCTTCTCTTCAGAATCTCCCAAGAGCACAGTGTCATCAGCAAAGAGCAGCTGTGACAACTCCCACTTTGTGTGTGATTCTTTATCTTTTAACTCCACGCCTCTTGCCAAGACCCTCGCATTTACTTCTCTTACAACCCCATCTATAAATATATTAAACAACCACGGTGACATCACACATCCTTGTCTAAGGCCTACTTTTACTGGGAAAAAATTTCCCTCTTTCCTACATACTCTAACTTGAGCCTCACTATCCTCCTAAAAACTCTTCACTGCTTTCAGTAACCTACCTCCTACACCATACACTTGCAACATCTGCCACATTGCCCCCTTATCCACCCTGTCATACGCCTTTTCCAAATCCATAAATGCCACAAAGACCTCTTTAGCCTTATCTAAATACTGTTCACTTATATGTTTCACTGTTACACCTGGTCCACACACCCCCTACCTTTCCTAAAGCCTCCTTGTTCATCTGCTATCCTATTCTCCGTCTTACTCTTAATTCTTTCAATTATAACTCTACCATACACTTTACCAGGTACACTCAACAGACTTATCCCCCTATAATTTTTGCACTCTCTTTTATCCCCTTTGCCTTTATACAAAGGAACTATGCATGCTCTCTGCCAATCCCTAGGTACCTTACCCTCTTCCATACATTTATTAAATAATTGCACCAACCACTCCAAAACTATATCCCCACCTGCTTTTAACATTTCTATCTTTATCCCATCAATCCCGGCTGCCTTACCCCCTTTCATTTTACCTACTGCCTCACGAACTTCCCCCACACTCACAACTGGCTCTTCCTCACTCCTACAAGATGTTATTCCTCCTTGCCCTATACCCGAAATCACAGCTTCCCTATCTTCATCAACATTTAACAATTCCTCAAAATATTCCCTCCATCTTCCCAATACCTCTAACTCTCCATTTAATAACTCTCCTCTCCTATTTTTAACTGACAAATCCATTTGTTCTCTAGGCTTTCTTAACTTGTTAATCTCACTCCAAAACTTTTTCTTATTTTCAACAAAATTTGTTGATAACATCTCACCCACTCTCTCATTTGCTCTCTTTTTACATTGCTTCACCACTCTCTTAACCTCTCTCTTTTTCTCCATATACTCTTCCCTCCTTGCATCACTTCTACTTTGTAAAAACTTCTCATATGCTAACTTTTTCTCCCTTACTACTCTCTTTACATCATCATTCCACCAATCGCTCCTCTTCCCTCCTGCACCCACTTTCCTGTAACCACAAACTTCTGCTGAACACTCTAACACTACATTTTTAAACCTACCCCATACCTCTTCGACCCCATTGCCTATGCTCTCATGAGCCCATCTATCCTCCAATAGCTGTTTATATCTTTCCCTAACTGCCTCCTCTTTTAGTTTATAAACCTTCACCTCTCTCTTCCCTGATGCTTCTATTCTCCTTGTATCCCATCTACCTTTTACTCTCAGTGTAGCTACAACTAGAAAGTGATCTGATATATCTGTGGCCCCTCTATAAACATGTACATCCTGAAGTCTACTCAACAGTCTTTTATCTACCAATACATAATCCAACAAACTACTGTCATTTCGCCCTACATCATATCGTGTATACTTATTTATCCTCTTTTTCTTAAAATATGTATTACCTATAACTAAACCCCTTTCTATACAAAGTTCAATCAAAGGGCTCCCATTATCATTTACACCTGGCACCCCAAACTTACCTACCACACCCTCTCTAAAAGTTTCTCCTACTTTAGCATTCAGGTCCCCTACCACAATTACTCTCTCACTTGGTTCACAGGCTCCTATACATTCACTTAACATCTCCCAAAATCTCTCTCTCTCCTCTGCATTCCTCTCTTCTCCAGGTGCATACACGCTTATTATGACCCACTTCTCGCATCCAACCTTTACTTTAATCCACATAATTCTTGAATTCTTGAATTTATATGGTGTACACTGACCACACAGACCCATTATCCCACATGTGGGCCTACCAGCTTTCTCCTGCTTGATTTGAAGCCGCTAGAATTTATGAGTATATATACGTCAAACACGGTACCTCATAAGACGTATATATACGACCTCGACAGTCAAAGGGTTAATGAAGGATTTAGTTATTGTTATTCAGGACTTGATTCTGCAAGAGAACACAAAAACAAAAATATACATTTCTTGGTATTTACAAAATTAAAAATTAAATATCTGACAAAATTAACAGCCAAATTAAATTAATACAGTAAATACTAATTAAACTACTCACTATATCCTTTAGTTAAGGATCATTTGTTTTACTGACCTGAATACTCTGACTGGCAAGCTGACGAGAGGTCATAAGGATGTCTGCTGTCGCTCTCAGGAATTTTCCTGTTTCACCTCGTGCTACTACTAGGGAAAGGAGACAAGCACATGCCACACCCACTAAAGGGGAGGAAGGGCATGTCAAGACATCTCCATTACTTGCTGTAGCCAGCCGTAACAGCAAACTAAACAATGCATCTGGAAAGGATGACAGTTTTTAACTCTTTAACTAGGAAAAGACTTTTTCTAATAAAAACAATATACGTATACACCTACCATCCGACTTACGACCAAGCTTGGTTCCGACCAACCGGTCATAAGTCAAAATGGACGTAAGTTGAACCTTTGAAAATTTCCGACATATTGGGTAGGGCATAATGTCAAACCTTTCTTATATAAACTACCTACATAATACTGTAATGTAATGTACAATCATTATTTCATTCTTTTTACCATAATTTACTTCCATTGTTATATTTTAATTATTTATGTACTGTATATAATGTATACATGGTAGTGTTCTGTATTGTAAATGTTACATCGCATACAGTATCATATGTTACTATTATCTTTATGTAATGTCGACACAGTGGAATGGGAGAATACCACTGGTAGTGTCATCCTGCCAGAATGTAGTATAACCTATACCCTAAGTAAAGAGAAACGACTCTGGAACATGTGTAATACGTATCCGGCTGGGTGGCTGGGTCTGTGGTTGGCCAGGTGGGTGGGTGGTGGGTGGGTGGGTGGTTGGCTGACCGAATGTGGCTGTCTCTCTCTCTGTATCTCTCTCTCTCTGTATCTCTCTCTCTCTCTGTATCTCTCTCTCTCTCTGTATCTCTCTCTCTGTATCTCTTTCTCTCTGTATCTCTCTCTCTCTCTCTCTGTATCTCTCTCTCTCTCTGTATCTCTCTCTCTCTCTCTCTCTGTATCTCTCTCTCTCTCTCTCTCTGTATCTGTATCTCTCTCTGTATCTGTATCTCTCTCTGTATCTGTATCTGTATCTCTCTCTGTATCTGTATCTATCTCTGTATCTGTATCTGTATCTGTATCTCTCTCTGTATCTGTATCTCTCTCTGTACCTGTATCTCTCTCTGTATCTGTATCTCTCTCTGTATCTGTATCTCTCTCTCTGTATCTCTCTCTCTCTCTCTATCTCTCTCTCTCTCTTTCTCTCTCTCTCTCTCTGTATCTCTCTCTCTCTCTCTCTCTGTATCTCTCTCTCTGTATCTCTCTCTCTGTATCTATCTATCTATTTATCTCTCTCTCTCTCTCTCTCTCTCTCTCACAGTTACACATAAGTCATCATACATATTATAAATTACCTAGGATAACCCAAAAAATCTAGATAAAGTGCTATACAGTGGATCAGTGCTCCAGTGCCCTAAATTAATAATAGTGTGATGAATGGTTTGAAAAACCGACAAGTTGAAGAATGAGACACTTATGCAGCATATGGGAATCTTTATTCAGGAAACGTTTCGCCACACAGTGGCTTCATCAGTCCAATACAAAGAGGAAGGCGTAAGGAGAGGAGGAGTATGAGGTAATCAGTCCCTCAACCTGGAGTCGATGTGTTCAGTCCATCAATCTTGTAGAATGTACAGCATAGGGCCGTAGACGTGGCTTATATACTGTAGTGAGGTGAGGTGAAGCAGGCGGAGGCGGGGTCATAGTGGTACCATCCACTAGTCGAAGTAGGTTCAACCTCTTAGAGTCAATTGAGTTTCTGAGGTCACTACAAAGCACCTTTCAAACAGAGCTTTTGTGTACAGTTTTTTGAAGTTTGCAATAACCTGCTGGTCCATGGGCTGCAGGAGAGGAGTGGTATTAGGAGGCAAAAACTTGACCTTAATGAAGCTCATGTCCCCACGAAGTCGCTCTGCTACGTCTGTAGGATGACCAGGGGCATTGTCTAACACCAGGAGGCACTTAAGGTCTAATTTCTTTTCAGTTAGGTAATTTTTCACATTGGGGGCAAATGCTTGGTGTAACCAGTCATAGAAAAAGTCCCTAGTGACCCATGCCTTACTGTTTGCCCTCCACAGCACACACAAATTAGCCTTGAGGATATTCTTTTGCCTGAATGCTCTGGGAGTTTCAGAGTGATACACTAATAAAGGCTTCACTTTGCAATCACCACTAGCATTGGAACACATTAACAGAGTAAGCCTGTCTTTCATAGGCTTATGTCCTGGGAGTGCCTTTTCCTCCTCAGTAATGTAGGTCCTGCTTGGCATTTTCTTCCAAAACAGGCCTGTTTCATCACAATTAAACACTTGTTCAGGTTTCAGTCCTTCACTGTCTATGTACTCCTTGAATTCATGCACATATTTTTCAGCTGCTTTGTGGTCCGAACTGGCAGCCTCACCATGCCTTATCACACTATGTATGCTACTACGCTTCTTAAATCTCTCAAACCAACCTTTGCTGGCCTTAAATTCACTCACATCATCACTAGTTGCAGGCATTTTTTTTAATTAAATCCTCATGCAACTTCCTAGCCTTTTCACTTATGATCACTTGAGAGATGCTATCTCCTGCTATCTGTTTTTCATTTATCCACACCAATAAGAGTCTCTCAACATCTTCTATCACTTGCGATCTCTGTTTCGAAAACACAGTTGAACCTTTGGCAAGAACAGCTTCCTTGATTGCCGTTTTCTTGGACACAATAGTAGCGATGGTTGATTGGGGTTTACTATACAACCTGGCCAGCTCGGAGACACGCACTCCACTTTCATACTTAGCAATGATCTCTTTCTTCATCTCTATAGTAATTCTCACCCCTATTCCTGTAGGGTTGGCACTAGAAGTTTTCTTGGGGCCCATGGTCACTTATTTTGCAGATAAAATCACCAAAAACACTGTAATAATACGAAATGTTCCGATTGTATGCTTGGATGTTACCGCGGAGGCTGGCTGGTAAACAATGCCACCGGCGGAACATGTGAGGCTGGCTCAGGCCGCACATTAGACGCGTCTCGGACGAATAGCGTTGAGCGGGTTTTTTAGCGGTATGCGAGGCAAAATCTTAGTGATAAAATGTATCGGTATGCGGATTTAACATTATGTGATGCCAACGGTATGTGGGGGTCCACTGTAATTATATTTCAAGTAGAGATGGTTTGGACATGTAGAGAGGATGAAACAAAATAGAATGACTTCAAGAGTGTATAAATCTGCAGTGGAGGGAAGGCAGGGTAGGGGGTCGACCAAGGAAAGGTTAGTGGGAAGGGGTAAAGGAGGTTTTGTGTGCAAGGGGCTTGGACTTCCAGCAAGTATGCGTGTGTGTGCTATACAGGAGCAAATGGAGACAAATGGTTTTTAGGACTTGATGTGCTGTTGGAGTGTAAACAAAGTAACATTTATCAAGGGATTTGGGGAAACCAGCAGAACGAACTTGATTCCTGGGGATGGGAAGTACAGTGCCAGCACTCTGAAGGAGGGGTGTTAATGTTACAGGTTTATAACTGTAGTGTAAGCATGCCTCTGGCAAGACAGTGATGAAGTGAATGATGATGAAAGTTTTTCTTTTTCGAGCCACCCGGCCTTGGTGGGAAACGCCTGATGTGTTAATAAAAAAATCAAAATAAACGTATTTCAAACACACAATTCATGCATACTTCATTTTATATAAAGAAACCAATAATATAGGATAATTTTTTAGTGGTTGAATCTTTAGATATATTCAACTTGCTTTAGAAAACAGTAAACAATATACTGTACTCATACAGTTTTGTACACAACCATAAGGATCAAGCTTTACTGTTGTTATACATATACAATACACAAATTTTATGTACAGTACTCTGCATAGAATTATATAATGAAAAGAGCAATAATTTTTTTTTTCTTTTTAGACTAGGAAGGTCAAATGGAGCACAACTAGGCTTAAATTAATCCTCAAAACTGTGCAACAAAATATATTTCAGCCTTGTTTACATCTCATATTTACTTTTCCGTTGCTAATTACAGTATGCAGAGTCAACCCATTAGGTCATGAGTGTAGGGGTTGACTCTGCATACTGTAATTAGCAACAGAAAAGTAAGCCTAGATTTTTCAGGGTCAATCTTAGCCTTGGAGGATGAGGAAGGTTAATTTGGGTGGTCATATAACAGGGATCACCAGTATATTCCTATAAAGTAACAGCTATAACAACTATTTAATTCTTAATTACCATTATGCTCCCACTGCACCTGCACCAGGTACATATGTACCTGTTGCAGGTGAAGTGGCAAGACAGTACACAGTCACTTACCAATGACCTCTGGAGGTTCACTGCGCAAAGCTTCTGGCTGTTGCCCCTGAAGAATATCTAAGAGGGCCTCAAGCGCACGAATACAAAGAGCAGGATAAGCAGACACCGAGCCCCGTATCAACTCATATACACTCACTAACCCCAATCCAACCATCTAAGGAAAGAAATATAGTTAGATTAATTATGTATTGTACGTATATTGTGTACAGTACATTACCATAATGTTCTTAAGCTTTACTTGCAAAATAATTTCAATTTGTGGATATTCAATTCAATTTAAGATTCTAAGACAATTATATACGACTTAAAATGACTATAGATATCAGGCACTGATCAGCTATTTTTAATAAATAGTATTATAACAGTTCAACTCAAGAAACAATACACTCAAATTTCAATAGCTCTTCTTTTTTTTTTATCATGTTGGCAGTCTCCCACTGAGGCAGGGTGACACCCCCCCCCAAAAATAAAAGAAAAACTTTCTCATCTTACAAAAAGGTTTACTTTTTCATTTCCTCTTATTCTTTCCCACAAACTGATTCACTCAATTCATCCACCTAAACACAAAAGTTTCTCTTTTTAACTTTAGTAATGTATACAGGAGAAGGGGTTATTAGCCCCTTCCTCCTGGCATTTTAGTTGCCTCTTACGACATGCATGGCTTAAGGAGGAAGAATTTTGTTCCACTTCCCCATGGAGACACTTATTATTTTTTTTTTTTTCAACAAGTCGGCCGTCTCCCACCGAGGCAGGGTGACCCAAAAAAGAAAGAAAATCCCCAAAAAGAAAATGCTTTCATCATCATTCAACACTTTCACCACACTCACACATAATCACTGTTTTTGAAGGTGCTCAGAATACAACAGTTTAGAAGCATATACGTATAAAGATACACAACATATCCCTCCAAACTGCCAATATCCCAAACCCCTCCTTTAAAGTGCAGGCATTGTACTTCCCATTTCCAGGACTCAAGTCCGACTATATGAAAATAACAGGTTTCCCTGAATCCCTTCACTAAATATTACCCTGCTCACACTCCAACAGATCGTCAGGTCCCAAGTACCATTCATCTCCATTCACTCCTATCTAACACGCTCACGCACGCTTGCTGGAAGTCCAAGCCCCTTGCCTACAAAACCTCCTTTACCCCCTCTCTCCAACCCTTTCGAGGACGACCCCTACCTCGCCTTCCTTCCCCTATAGATTTATATGCTTTCCATGTCATTCTACTTTGACCCATTCTCTCTAAATGACCAAACCACCTCAACAACCCCTCTTCTGCCCTCTGACTAATACTTTTATTACTCCACACCTTTTCCTAATTTCCACACTCCGAATTTTCTGCATAATATTTACACCACACATTGCCCTTAGACAGGACATCTCCACTGCCTCCAACCGTCTCCTTGCTGCTGCATTTACCACCCAAGCTTCACACCCATATAAGAGTGTTGGTACTACTATACTTTCATACATTCCCTTCTTTGCCTCCATAGATAACATTTTTTGACTCCACATATACCTCAATGCACCACTCACCTTTTTTCCCTCATCAATTCTATGATTAACCTCATCCTTCATAAAGCAATAAATTTGTGTGTCAGACAGTGTTTCAGAAGTTCTAAAATAAAATTTGTATCTAATTCAGTACATACTTTTGGTATCTGCATTGTGAGTTCTCTCCCTTTTTCTCCATCATCATCGGTATCAGAGTCTGATGGAAGAGGCTGAGTTGTGGCCAGGTAAACTCCTTGGGCCTGTCGCGCAGCATTCTCAAGAACAAGTCCTCGCACATGAGCATATACAGCAAATGATGAAGGATTTCCAGGAAGTTCTAGAACTGGGATTAGGCTGCTGCACGTATTGCTTCCACCAGCAACTTCTCCCTATAAAAAAATGTACAGTATTTATATAGGATGGTTACCTATGCAACAGGCCAACAAGTGGGTGTCAAGAAAACTAATGCAGAACAAACATTTTTATAGCACTGTTTTGCTCAAGTATGAGCTTTACTATGTCTTTATCCTGGCAGAACTCAAGTCAGAGAGAATTATCATCTAAAACCATCATTATGCCCAGTATTCATAAAGATTATTGAAAATTGTACATGTGGTATACTGTATATACAGTAAATAACTACATATACTATTCAGTACCGAATATAAAAGAAGGGTTTATAGTTTGGTTAAAGACTGATTACAGTTATGGGAATACATCATCTTGCATATACTAGGGAAAACCCTTTGTTATGTGAAGCATTTGGCTTAATTCTTTTTTTAAAAATAATGCATGCATGTGGGTATCTGAATAATGGAAGTTAATTCTACCTGGAAATAAAGACCCTGGTAACAGGGTAATCCTTTCATTATCAAATGTGACAGGGTCACAACCTCGGGTGAAATGTTGCAATACGTACGAAGATTCCTTGTACACTTTATTAGTATCTTTATTTCCACTTGGCTTATACCATTTGTACTTTCTCTCTTAAACAAATACAAAAAGCAAAATATACTACCAGACATCTATGCACTTGATTTTACAGGTTCACCACATTAATGCACAAGATAAATTATATTCAACTGTGGAGATATCTATTTCTGGCTACACTATCAGTAAATTCTGACAACTGTGGCACCAGCAGATTGCTTTTATAGGGGAAATTTTATTTTCCATGACCAGTTTTTTCATTCTTATGAATGTCAGTATTAACCAGATTAGACTGTTATTTCAAGAGAAGTGGCCTGAAAATGTGAAAAATATAAAATATGAAAAACTAATTAATTCAGACATGCAAAATTTCATATTATTAACAACTTCAAAACTCCCAAGGCCTCCAGGAATCTAACCCTCATGAATTCATTGGTTCAACCATATATACATTATACTTACACCTATACTTAATTCTGTTCATGTTTATATTAATTAAATGCATTATAAAATCATGAAAGGTAATTTGAAATTAAGACTGACATTCTGTTATTCCATTTAAGTGCTTTTTTAATACAAAATGGAGCCTTAGGGCTACTGCCTCTTTTGCCACTCTGTGACCTTTTTTCACTCCAGTACTACACAAAAACTGAAGACTGATATACAAGTCACTACTATAAAAGCCACAAAAAGTGCATTCTAATCCAAATTATGCAAAACAAAATTTCCATGTTTAAAAAATCATTCATACCATCCAAATGTTTAAGATAGTAAAACCATGATACTTCTGAGTAGATGATGGAAAGGCTGCAGGATGAAGGAAATTATTCCAAAAAGAGTTAGGGATAACTTCATCTGTCCAATCTGTCATGTTGAATGAGGTGTCTTGTTTTATTATGTAAGAAGTGTGTGTACAAATATTGGTTTCTTGAGCTGCATTTTCACAGCAAGCTTCAGAGTTTTTATAAGTGGCTTCTCTGCTTGTAGTGAGGTCTTCCAGCGCGAGTCCAAAAACAGGATGACTGTCTGTGATGTAGGTAACTGCATTTCTTCTCTGTCGTTTTGATGGCAGCTCAGCTGATAACAATAACTTTAATTTCCTCATCTCTGTTGATAAGCCGTCCTTTCCTGGGTCACCTTCTCGTGGACTCTTACTACATTGCAGCACAGTGGTCCTGACTGACAGTTTATCATTAATAGTACTTGGCAGAGAAAGAGAGACTAGATTTTTATCTTTTAAGCTTTGGGAATCCTCAAGCCTTTCAGTTTTATCATGTAATGCAGCTTCTGTAGATGGTATAACTAGGTCTTCTTTATCACCATATGTAAATAATTTACATGACTCATCTATCTGTGGCTTACTCACTCTAAATGTAGGTATAATTCCTTTGTTTACATTGTAACAGTAATTATGCCCTTCTGCTACACCCATCTTTTCACTTGAATTAATAGCTGGGGTATAATCTGCATCTGTGGAAAAATCTCTGTATTTCAGGATTATATTGGAACCATCACTATTTGACACTGACGGTTTTGGTGATAAATACAATGGAATGGTTTCAACAGATTTTGCTTCTTGGACCACCTGCAGTCCTGCATTTGAAGTATGCTGACTCCTCATATCTTTAGAGTGTTGAGCCTTAAGTGTTTGAGGTGTGTTTGTGCCTAAGCATATCATGGATTTCCTCCTATTCTGGAAAACACTGAGGTCTGCCACCTTGCATACCACATGAGGCTCTGTGGATATTCCAGCATGAGAATGCCTCCTCTTTCCCCAAACATTAGCATAAATGCTAGATGTTACTACATTATGTTTTCCTGGAATGGACAAAAGGTTTGGACTACAAGATGCTCTTCTTTTTGCAAATATCTTTTTTAAACCAACTGATGCAGATCGTTCATCAACTGAGTGACGGCGACCAGTTTCCAAGCCGATTGCTTGCTCTCTCCTCTTCTCACTGACCAACTCTCCAGCTTTATTTAAATTTCCACACTGAACAAGGAGTCGGTAAGTTTTATTGCTCACATTGCTTATACAATTATCTACTTCATTTTTATTCTTTGAAGCCATTTTTTAGCAAAATTTTTCTCATTAACACAGCTCAAAAGTTTAAAATCTTGGCCGGTAAACACAAAATTATCTGTTGCTCTTCTCTGGGAATATAATTTCATCATTCAGGGATACATGAGCATGCACTCACAGAGCAGACACTGAACTGACAACCAAGTCAATACATGGTGCAGAAGCCTTGTCTTAAATTAGATGTACCATACAATCTCAAAATCTTGTATGACTGTACACAGAAATAGCATGTGTGTTGCCACCACTTTAAAAAGAAAGCCTTAAAAATGACCAACATAGTTTTGTGTTAGTACTTTAAGGAGTATATATGTGTAAAATCAAAGGTATTTCTGATCATATGGTATTAAAACCACAAATCCAAATATGCTTTAGGTAACAACTTGTGGCAACATAATTGTATAGAATCTCAGCAAGAGGTGGGTGGAGGACACACTATCATAATGTCCATCATATTCTTAGTTTCTTACTGAACATTAATGTAAATAAATATATGGTGTACAGGTATACAGTATAATATTTTAAAATTGTTCTTTATAGTACTAAATTATTAATAATATATATTCTTAACATACACTTAGTTTACTTTCTCCCACAAGTAGAAATTTATTTTAAAAGCAATTCCTTTAAGAGTAAAAATGATTTGCACTGCACACATAAACACACCCTCAGCTCCATTGTTCCTACATATACCCCTTACCACCCTAACCCCAATACTACCAGACCACCATCCCCAACACCCACCCCTTGATATGGCTTACCTCCCAACAAAAAGCCTTGGACCCCAACCCCTTTCCTAATGCACACTCAATCACATTTTGGAAGGATTTCGGTTTAATGCCAATATTTCACTTCACGACCACATGAATTACTTGCCGTACATATAATTTACATCAGCATAAGTACAACAGGCATTAGTAACTTTTTTAAAAAGTTACTATGTTTTAGATTTTATTATAACTCTTTAGTAGAATCCTTTTATTAAATGCCTTCACACTTTTGCATACACTACATAATTAAAAATATGAATGCACTGTATGTACTAGCAAAGACTGTAGTATTACTAACCTTTTTCTTTTTATCCTTATGATGTCTGTTAGATTTGGCTTTCCTTCTAACTTTACGGCGATCTTTTTTCTTCCTGTAGTAAAATATAATTCATAAACAGTAAAAACAATGCATTTCATTTTACTAAAGACTGATAAAAATATAACTGTTGACAAAACTTGTAAAAGGAGCTTTTATAAAAAGCATGCATTTGAAATAATGTCATTTTAATAATTGATGAGCCTAGCATCATTAAAGTTAATGGCAGAAGCTGTTGTTATTACACATATCCAGAGGAAAATAAACAATATGATAAAAAAAAGCATACCTTAAGTCAGGAAGAGCTCTATAGAGGGCATGAAAGTCTGCTCTAAGTTTTACTCCATCTTTCATATAGAGGCCAACTCGAGCTCGTACGTTATTTTCTCTAGCAAAGATCTTTTCAATAGCTCCGATGCTTGCTGCAGACCCATTTGAAGAGCCTGAGCCATCAGATTTATCATCTGCAGTCATGGTTTATCACAACACCCGTTCACTGTACACTTAAAGTTTTATTTGCACCTCATCTGAAACAATCATTATAAAACTAGGTTTATTTGTTTTATAGTTATATATTATTATTGAAGATATTTCCTTTCATTTTCCTACATAAAGCATATAAAGTCCACATAAATACATATTATACCAGGTAAAAACAATATTTCCATAAATAATCATGGTAATCAACTGTTTTAATAACTTCTTTAAAACATAATAAAAACTTCGCTTCCAATTAGAGTATACATTAAACTTTATTAATCATTAAATACATTACATTATTCACTACTGTAATTTCCTTTTACACAAATTTAACACAGAACATACTTTTATTAATACACTTTAGTATACCAAAGTCTTATACCGTACATGCCATACACCATACTGTAATTTGCACCACCAATTATAATGTATTAAAGTACATAAACTACTTTCTTTAGAAGGTTCCACAAGCCCCTACTGGAGTAACAACCTGTTGGTAAACCTAGTATTAACAAAAAATATTAACAAAAAATACATTTTATAGAGAATAACAATGGTTTTGCATACAGAAAAGGGACTACTAAATTCGAGGGTCCACTGTATATACTTTACGAACACTGTTCACCTCACCTCACCTGTCCTACCTTGCTATCTGTGTCACACAGACTCTAAGTACTCAGTGGTTTAACCTGATGAGGTAATCTGACATAAGGAGGCAGCAGTTATAGGTAAATTATGGTGAAGACACAGTGCAGTGATATACAAGGGGAGGATGGTCAGCAAGCAAGAAACACAGTTAAGCAGATTTAGTGTATGGTGACATGTGCAGTAAAATGTCACTATAAGAATCTATAAATAATCTGTGAATAATACAATATTGTGATGGAAGTGCTGTGTAGCTTTGTGAAACATTACCTATAGGAATAGAGATAGTTAACAAATGAATAGTGAATGACCAGTGTCATGAACTTGTGTACAAGAACAGTTATGAAATTTGTGACCCAAAGGCATCAATGAAATGCTGTGAAAGCATTTATATTTTGTGATGTACAGTATGCACTAGGATACTAAAAAATACTGCCAACCAACTGAGCAATCAGAACTAAGTTCATTTAAAGTTTCACAAATTTAGGTGACTGCGATTATCATACATAATAACATATAGGATTTATTTGTTTACTTGATACAATGGCTATATCTATTATGTAAATATATACCTAGTTGACTGCTGTGGATCGCATCCTTTAGGAGGACCTGAAGATCACAATGGAAATAAGCTTTCTTGGGTTATCCTGGGTTACAGTATTAACCATACAAAATTAATTATTTAAAGGTAGTCTTCTTCAACTCTTTCTCCTGTTTATAATATTGAGAGTTCTAGTGGTCAACTGGCCTGCTAGCTCTATAATAATAATAATAATAATAATAATAATAATAATAATAATAATAATAATAATAATAATAAATAATAAATAATAAATAATAAATAATAAATAATAATAATAATAATATCTTTATTACAAGTACATGGGTTCTACCCACAGTTTGACCCATACTTTAACCCATGCTGTTTTACCCATTCTGCTCGACCCACATTGACCCACACTCTGACTCACACTTACACACACTCACACTCTGACTCACACACTGACTAACACTATTCAGGGATATAAATAAAATTAGTTTAATTGGATGACATCACAATACTGGACTTCATTCTGAGCAAGATCCTCTGATCATTCCTCAGAATATCTTAGTAAAATTACGTCTCCCTAGACAATTAAATAATAAAACAGTGACAAGGATATATGAAAGTGCATTATTATTATTATCAAAAAAAGAAGCGCTAAACCTACAAGGGCCATACAGCGCATATGAAAGTGCAGATAAAAAGCTTCAGTAAAACTGGCTTCTTTAAACTTTAAGTAATTAATTTAAAGGCTGTAAGAGACATGATTAACAGTACTGTCAAAACTACTGTTAAATTTAAGATATTTTTAATACTTGATGCGTGTCTACATACATCAAAAATATTTTGACAAAGTGCTACCATTAACTTGCATACCTCTATGTGGATGGAAGTTATGTATTCGTGCCTTAAAATTTTCCTCGACATTCATCTAGGAAATAATTAACCTTGTAGTAGGCCTCAAGTCTACATTTAAGGGGAAAATCGAGACTTGACAAGTGACTGGTCGCTCCCGAGTGTTTTCATGCAGCAGAAGACATTTCTGTGTCCGGTTCCTCAGTCACCCTCCTACTAGTTCTCTATTTATCTACGTTTTGCCCTAAATTAGAAGGACTATATATTATTTTTTACTTACGTCTATTAAAATATATTTAATTATGCTTAAAACAGTATTTGTGGAGGTATGTGACGGTATAATGAGGATAAAGTCAGTGGTTGAATAATACGAATGATCGAGAGCGGCTGACGCCGAGAACACTCATAGAAAATGTTATTCAGAATATTTATTATAAACTATATGATTTTGAACATGACAATACTGGCTTCAGCAATATTAACACTTGAAATACAAAAAAACAATCTTGGTCAATATAAAGTTTCGGTCCTGGCCTGAATTGATCGATAATTTATTCCTGAAATAACCTAAAAATGACTTTACCTTACTCCGCCAGCGGTAGGTATAGGAATGGCCTGTCTTTGTCAGGAAGTACAAATAGTAATAATAAGTCTAAAGTAAGTACAAATATGAATACGAATATTTTATTTCTTTTCTGTTGTATGCAGATAATGTAGTTTACATGTAATAAAATAGACACAAGAGAAAGCCACTAACATGGGGTGTATTTCGGGTAAACTGATCCTAAGAACTAGACAGATTAGGTTAGGTTAGGTAAGGTTCGTCAGGAAACAGGACAAATGTTTCCTGACGCGGGTCTTAGTCAGATGATGATCCGCCTTTGGAGCTTTGGTCATCTGACCGAGGCCTTCCGCTGGCTTACCGGACCACCCCTTTAAAAATTATGGTCATGTAGAACCATTTTTGTAGTAATCGTGCCTTTGATGCACATTGAATTTTTACATAGGATGAGTGGAATAGTGGGGATGTTGAAGAGAGTTATCTTATCCTGACCAGCTGGGCTGTGGCTCGTACGTTGGATTGCGTGCAGCCAGCAGTAACAGCCTGGTTGATCAGGCCCTGATCCACCATGAGGCCTGGTCACAGACCGGGCCGCGGGAGCGTTGACCCCCGGAACTCTCTCCAGGTAAACGTTGGTGAGGGGCTCTTGATTTGGGGAATTGGATCTGTGCTCCAGTTCCCCAAATTAAGCCTGAATGCCTTCCACATCCCCCAGACGCTGTATAATCCTCCGGGTTTAGCGCTTCCCCGTTGATTATATAATAATAATAATAATAATCTCCAGGTAAACTCCAGGTTATACCTGCGTGTTCTGTTGCAGTTATCATGGAAAAGTTTCAGAGGAAAGTAGGTTTTTATTGGAGTTAATGTTCAATATATATGTAATAGGCACAATAATATAAGTGCGTATTTTGTGGTAGGGGAGGGGGTTGTATTGTCTGCCACAGGAATGGGTGATTGTCCGCGCAGCAGGTTTCTGTTGGGTTATTAATCATTTAAGGTGATTTGGAGAGGGTTTCGGGGGTCAACGCCCCCGCGGCTCGGTCTGAGACCAGGCCTCGTGGTAGATCAGGGTCTGATCAACCAGGCTGTTACTGTGGATATTATATTTCAAGTTGCATTCAAGGTGAAGATCTAAAAATTTGCCCTCAATGTGCCTTTCATTGGGAGAACCGTTGATCAATATATTTAGTTGAATATTTGAAACTGTTTTCAAAGAGCATGTAACAGGTTTTGTCAATATTAAGGATGAGTTTGTTGGTAGTCACCCACCTAACCAGCCGGGCTATGGCTCGTACGTTAGATTGCGTGCAGCCAGCAGTAACAGCCTGGTTGATCAGGCTCTGATCCACCGGGAGGCCTGGTCACAGACCGGGCCGCGGGGGCGTTGACCCCCGGAACTCTCTCCAGGTTTGTTCCAGGTTTATGGTAAGGACCCTAACGGAAATAAGTTCCTTTGACTTTTTGGGTTATTCTAGGTAATTTATACATGTTGCTATGTATGAAAATTGTACTTGGGTGTTCCTGTACCTGAGTAAACTTACTATAATAGCAACTATGTCAGTGTAACATGGAGCAGCAAAATGGCAGAATGATGAAGTACAAGAGGATGAATTATGGATGAAAACTCAAGCAAATTTCAAGATGTGTTTGATATAGTGTATTGCTGTCGTGAATCGTGTATATAAAGCTGGCACCTTAATTGTAATTATCATCTATAATGCTCGTAATTCCATGAGTGTTAATTGTGATAAGCCGGTGTCAGAAGCCAGATACAGGTATGTTGAAAATGATATAAAACACCCACTAGTTGATGAGTAAGACACGTGCAATAGTTGGATATCTTTATTTTTTAAATGTTTCGCCTACACAGTAGGCTTCTTCAGTCAAATACAGAGGCAGCAGGTGTAGTAGTGAAGTAAAAGTGATGTAATTAGTGGTCAGTCGATCAGGTGCCAGAGATACAATCACCTGAGCGCCCAATGCTAATTTAGAAAAAAAAAGCGATGTTTGCATCTGGTCTTACCCGACCAAAGACTGTTTGGATAAATTAGAGAGAGGTGAGGCTACAAAATCTTGGTGTCCCAACCACGGCAAGAAGCATCATGCCTGGAATCTACACTACCCGAAGAGGCTCCGCCGGGTCAGGGCAACATGGAAAACCCCAGTTGTTCAGCCTCCAGCATTAAGAAGAGCCATCACTGAGCAGTTGTCTCACTCAGAGGAGGCTACAGTATCACGGAACCCATGGCCACTTCTTCTGCCACAGCCACAGAGGAAACCGAGGTAACATCCAACTCCCACCCCACAACAGCAGCCAGCAGGCCCCCGTGCTTCAGGGACAGACTACGCCACGCGTCTACGCTAACACTACAACAGCCACCGATGAAGAGCATTGTAACCCAAGGGAACAAAGCAAGTCATGACGTTTATTAAGTAGCAAATGTACCCGACCATCCAACACAGGGCCCAGAGATAATCCCGAGGGGCCTGGTGGCCTCAGCTCACTGCAATATATATATATATATATATATATATATATATATATATATATATATATATATATATATATATATATATATATATATATATAAATATATATATATATATGTATGTATGATATATATATATATATATATATATATATATATATATATAATATATATATATATATATATATATATATATATATATATATATATATATATATTTATATATATTATATATATATATATATATATATAATAATATATATATATATATATATATATATATATATATATATATTGCAGTGGAACGCACAGGGGCTACAGCTTTTAGTTTAATATGTTTATTATGCACCCCATACCCATCATGTGGACGGTAGTCAAAAGATTACAGAGGTACATAATTGGTCCAGGGACTGGACTCCGAAGTTTTGATAGCTGAGCAAGTTACAAATGTAATGAACTAGATTTGGTCACAATCGTGACCAAGTACAAAGGTAATGAGCTCCAGGTAGATCTGGTCACACTCATGACTAATTACAAAGTTAATGAACTTGATTTGGCTACAATAATGAGAATTGACAAAGGTAATGAGCCCCAGGTAGAGCTGGTCACAATCGTGAACACGTGATTACAATCATGAACAATTTTCGGAGTAATGATCAGTTAACAAACATTGTAGGAAATTCATCCAGTGTCAACAGACGTTGCTAGGTGCCTGTCCCTCCACTACAGCAAGACCCTGATTACGGTCACAGGACAGCTTTTAAATTAGATCGACATCTACCCTACAGATAGAGACATCGTAGCTACCAACCTCAGATTCACAAAGACATCTTCGAGAGCCTCGAACGCAGTTCCGGGCTAAATTTATAAAGCCCACTGAGTGGAATGTTGTACATCAAGAGTACAACTGCATTTGTGTTTATCCATCGTTTCGGTCTTTTATACCATTATTCGTTATCAGTCATCTTGGAGCCTCTTCTCTTCCTCTCCGGTTATCTTCCTAATTAATTACATTAAAAGCACGAATATGGGGTTCAATTTCCTCCGCGACATGTCATTTATGTATATTAGAATTATCAGGCGTCCAGGCACTGATCACTAGGGGACACCTTTGGTCAGAAAAAAAAAATGCAAAGTTGGTGGTAGAGAAATCAAACATTTCAACAGCCTCTAATTGAAGCCTCGTGCTTTTTCTCCGAAAGACTTTTATTTTATTTTCTGAGGATGGTAAGCAGAAATGTGACAAGTGAGGCAGAGCAAGGCTGGTGACCATGAGGAAGGTGAGGGGGTGGAGGGAGAGTGGCAGGTGCACGGGGACGACTCATGCGGGCTCACCTCTGATCATGTGTAGATAATATATAAATGCATCATATTGTTTTAATGCAAATTTTTGTGAATTCAGAGTGAATCACTTAATACTTTATCTTGAATTAGGAAATTATGCTGCTTTTAAAATAAGGCAGACGAAAAAATGAAGTCTGTGAGGCTGGTATAGTTTTGGTGAGGCCATGAATGAGGCTAGAGGTAGCAGGTGATTTGTAATGTAGGGGAGATGGTGGGGCTGGAGGCCCTCATATCCCTCTCCACTACACCAACACACCTCTACTTACCCTCCACATACTACTTACTCTCACTTGATGAGCAGAACCTGTATGGCTGACACCGTGTTAGCAGTGCCTTGCTACTACGGTGTGAAGACATTAGTCTGACACATCTACCATGAAATCATCACTAGACTAAGGTGAGAACACAACCTTGACACTTAACAAAATTCCAGCATCCGAGACTTTATCACTGATCCTTGTTAGGTATTAGTGTCACGTAGACCTCTAGGTGCCAAGTCTACCACGCCTTTCTTTAGTGCCAGATCCACCATTTATCCCACTAGTGCCGGCTCCACCACTCCTCTAGTGCCAGGTGCTACTCCACAATTTAATGTATGTGGTTATAGGATCAGATCTGTGCTAGTGGTGTCTTGTTTTCACTATTGAGCATACATTTTGAAGGTTTCTGGTAGTTGTAGCACTTGCTGCCTCCTCTTGACTCTCATGCCAACACTCTACCATGATACAGAGAAGTACAAGGAATACAATTTTTTAAAGCGCAGCATGTCAAAGCCCCTTGTATGCAGAGCATTATGGGCAGGCTTAAAATTAACTTAAGATTAACTAAGCAATGATATATTCAGTGGTACAAAAATTATTGTAAAACAGATAACAATTTAGTACAAATGAGTATTACAGACAGGTCATATGGTCATTACTGTGTTGCTGTGTAATCACTAGAATGGAGTATTATGTTAGGTAATGAAGTTAAATAGTAACAAAATTTGATTGGGTCACAGGTTGACATTTATGAGATACAATAATGAGATACATATATGAGATACAATTTATGAGATACAATTATTCAGTATTTATTTAGTTGTGGGTGAGTAAGTGATTTTTGAGAAGAGACTTGAATTTATAAACAGACAGTGTTTCTTTTATATTCACAGGTAATGAATTCCAGATTTTAGGGCCTTTTATGTGCATTGAGTTTTTGCATAGCGTGAGATGGACACGAGGAACATCAAAGAGTGATCTGTGTCTTGTGTTATGGTCGTGTGTTCTGTTGAGGTTGGTAAGGAGACGTTTGAGGGGAGGGTTTATGTCAGAGTTAAGTGTTCTATGTATGTAGCAGGTGCAGTAATATGTATGGTGAATAGGTTTAGTTTTGAATATTGGTGGAGTGTGCTGTCTGTAGTGGGAATTTGTTATCATTCTGGCTCCAAAGAAACATTTTCTAGTGTCCTTAAGGCATTAGAAAATGTTTCTAGGCGACAGCTGTGGCCTCTTATTTTTCAACTCCTGTCGACCAATGAGAGTATTTTCAGCATTTTTAGTCTTTCACTGTAACTCAGAATTTTTAAATCAAGAAGGCATTAAGTAGCTTATCTCTGGAGGCAGTGTGTACTACATGCATTGGAAACAAAAAAATACAATTATACAATAATTTAAATAATGAAGACGCGGCATCTGCTCCTTTAACTACAAATAAATAACCACGTATAAAACAAACAGTGATTAAAGCGTTCGGCACAAAACAAAAATATCCGGGGTTGGATCACCAGGCAATGAAGAGGTAGGTACATGAGCAAATCTCCATATATCTACTGCCTCTTATAAGCACGACGATTCGTTGACAATGTACATTACATAAAATGTTTAGTTAAACATATCTTCTCAGTAATATAAACAGTTTATATAGCTTTTCTTAGTTTACTAACTTTCTCCTCCTCGCTTGGTGCTGCTGAACGAAATATATTTCGGTTCTAAAGTGGAAAATTTCAATTAAGATTAACAAAAAACTTGCTCGTCCGAAGACAAATATTCTCCTTGTAGCGTTAGAAGATTCGAGTAAATTTAGTCTTATATCACAACTTATGTTGGTTTTTTATTTCCTAAGTTAATAAATTTTAATAACCATGAATACAAATGTAAAAACCATCATTGAGTAGTAAAATATTTTAATGGTGCAGTGTGTGTAGTGAGGGTGAGCTAGTTGTGTGTGTGTGTGTGTGTGTGTGTGTGTGTGTGTGTGTGTGTGTGTGTTGTGTGTGTGTGTGTGTGTGTGTGTGTGTGTGTGTGTGTGTGTGTGGTGTGTGTGTGTGTGTGTGTGGGGTGTGGTTGTGTGTGTGTGTGTGTGTGTGTGTGTGTTGAATAGCGTAGCAAGACATTGTTGTGGAAAATTTTGATAATTTTCCCGTAATTTGTGTTTATGAATTGATGGGATAATAATTTTAATCTGAAATTGTGTAGGTGTGTATCTTCAGTGACTTACTGAAGATGTTCGGTGACATGAGAACTAATATGCTTTATTATTTCCTTATATTCTGTAAGGAGTTGAATAAGTAAAGTGAAAATGTTGTAATTTAAAGAAATTAACATTTCAGTGATGAAAAACTTTAGTAAACGTTGCAGGTGTATTGATATTGTTGCAGGATTCACCTACTATTATGTGAGAGCTGGGGAGGTGTGTTGCCCAGATCCCAGGTGTCGGTCATGTGCGACAACCTTACTCACGTCTCCACCGACAACCAGCTGCCGACAACCTCCACCAAAGACTCTCCACTTCTGTCTAGTGAGGACGACCTTGTGTGCCACGGTAGTGATGACCCGCGACCACAGGAGCCGCCACAAGACACATTACAAGAGCACTTAGGGTCAGAGTGTAGCGGTGACGTGCCAGTGTGCGTGGACGATGATCCCGCCACCTGTGTGATCACACACTCGTCCCTCTCACTGGAACACCTGCCACACCTGGAGCACCTGGTGGTCCTCCAGCCTCTCAGTTGCTTCCCAACTCCTGCAGCCCAAGTCGCTGAGACTCCTGAAGGTACCTCACCTTGCACCCTTCCTGGAGGTCAACTGGATGCCCCAGTACCACGTGCTGACATGACCTACAGTACCGAGAGCCGCCAACTAGCGGTGGTCACTTCCACCCCCATCTCTCACTTCACACACATCAGGTGTAGGGACACGAAGAAAAAATGTAAGTATTACTCTCATATTACATAATCTCCCCTTTATATCATATCTCAAAAATTTCCCACTAATGTGAAAAACACATTCTCATCGACCTTTATTATTTTGTCTCATCACGAAACCTCATCCAAAACTAAAATAAAAAAAAATATGTACATATATTCTTGATAAATGTATTTTATAGTACGATTAATTTTTTCCATAGTACATCTGGTCCTAGTAGAAGTGTGATTAGCCAAAGATTGCTTTTTAAACTGATTACAATCAACTTTCTAATGATACCAAGATCGTTTTACTAGGGGCTTTCTCTCTCAAAGCTATTTGCGTGAATATTCAAAGTGTGTCGATCATATTTTTCCCAAGGTGTATGTTGTATACGTCATTCGGAGGATCTGGTTAAAATTTGGCCTAAGGTTCGAACAAGGTACTTTCTGTTGTGAGCCAAAAATATCTGTGCTAGATATTTGGTAGTGTTGGTTTTCATGCTGGCTGCCCGGACTCTGTACTGCACGAGTGTTCTGTGTGGGACACACACCGCATACACACAGGCAAAAAAAGGGGGGGGGGTATAAGAGCGTGGAAAAACTGCAAGTTAGGGAGAACAGGGAAGTGAACAAATCAGCCAGCAACGAATACAGCAGAGTGAGAAGAGAGACTGAGCGACAGTTTGACAATGACATAGTGGCAAACACCAAGTCTGAAGAATAAAAAATAACAATGGTTATAAATGACCATAATTTTTAAAGGGGTGGACCGGTAAGCCAGCGGAAGGCCTCGGTCAGATGACCAAAAGCTCCAAAGGCGGGTCATCATCTGACTAAGACCCGCGTCAGGAAACATTTGTCCTGTTTCCTGACGAACCTTACCTAACCTAACCTAACCAAGTCTGAACTAAAACTGCTTCATAGCCGCATCAGAAGAAAGACGACAGTGAAGAACCAGACAGTTCGACTGAAGAAGGAAGGAGAAGTTTGCGAAGTGTTGATCAAACGATTTGAAGATCTTTTCAGTGGAAACGAAAGCGTAGATGATATAATAATAATATGATACCTGTCTGATACAGCAACATCATGGTATCATGGTACGTGAAAACTGTTCTGCAACTCCTTTGCTAAACAACTGTTTAGCATAATCTACTTCCACTAGTGGGCCACGTTCACCTATGACATCACATTTAACTGCTTTGCTTCACGTATGGTCTCATGCCTATATGATATTTTCAAGTGCTGCATAATCTGCCATACACAAGTGTTATTCTTGGGCTTAAATCCAAACCGACAAGGATTAAACAAACACATTGTTAAGTTACCAACCAGTACAGCTGCTCATGGATTACTTTCTCAAAAAATTTTTATAGCATTGGAAGACTCGAAATTGGTCGGTAATAATTCAAGTCTGTTTGAGCCTCACCTTTGTCGTCACTGGGAGTTATCCTAGCTCTTTTGAGATAGTCTGGAAAAGTTTGCACTGCAAATGATTTCTTAAATAGTAATGAAACACCTTAAACAATTGCTTTTATAAAGCCACGTTTAGCAGTGTGCTGGATAGTACAGTATATGGAATAACGGTTTGCTCAATATTGTACTCTCACCCAACACAGGTAAGAGTGTGTACAAACATGTGCCACACAAGGAGAAGCCGCCTCAGCTAGTGGCTCGACGTAATGCTCGGGAGCGCCGGAGGGTACAATCTGTTAATGTGGCCTTTGCTAGGCTCAGGCGGGCAGTACCCTGCACCAGCGGGTAGGTTCATCCTTAACCTGTTAACAAACTCCATCCATGTTTGCAATTTTGTAATTGTGAGTACTTCATAATAGCAGTTATGAAGAGGTTCAGTTGTGTAAGAATGAGCATCCAACTGGACGCAAGATTGGAAGTCACTCATTCTCTCCCAATAAAAATGGCTTTTAGTGTGTTTATATTTTTCAGCAAAAAAAGTGTTGCATACGGTAAAAAAAAAATTAGAAAGTCTATTCCATATAACAGTAGCAGCTGTGTTGATTGTCTTTGATCAGTTAAAGGACTCCATAAGGTATATTGTGTTGAATTAGACACATGTGCAACTCTTGGGTATCTTTATTTAGGAAACGTTTCGCCACACAGTGGCTTCATCAGTCCATACAAAGGAGAAACTTGAAGAACAGGAGGAGAATGAGGTAATCAGTCCCTCAGCCTTGAGTCGATGTGGTCAGTCCATCAATCTATTCAAGATTGATGGACTGACCATCAATCTATTCAAGATTGATGGACTGACCACATCGACTCAAGGCTGAGGGACTGATTACCTCATTCTCCTCCTGTTCTTCAAGTTTCTCCTTTGTATGGACTGATGAAGCCACTGTGTGGCGAAACGTTTCCTCAATAAAGATACCCAAGAGTTGCACATGTGTCTAATTCAACAAAATGTCGGTTCTCTGAACCATTCATCTACAAGGTATATTGTGAAGGAAGATATACTTTCAACAGCTAGTGTGGGAAAATTCAGCATAGGAAGGCTAAAGGAGGCTCAGTATTCTTCCAGTTAAACTCCAGGTAAACTCCAGTTCTGAACTGGTATCTCCTGTTTTCCTAAAGTAACAAATTTCTCACCTTCTGTTAAAAAATACTGAATGAGAAGCATTTGTAAATGAGGATATTAGTACAAAGGCCAACCCAAAGATGATACATACCTGATACATAATTTTTTAATCAAGCAGTTTTGGTAGGAAAAAAAGATACGTCTACTACTAGGCCTATTATAATTATAAAACTAAGGATATATAAACCCTGCCCAAGTACATAATACACAAATCTTGCTATTCAGTTCTGTACACATAATCAGTTTATGTTAACCTCGGGAGGATCACATACCTAAAACGTGGTAAACGATAATGGCTCGATCCTCCTTCCGGGAATGGAACCCCTAACCCTTCCTGACGAGAGCCGTGAGTATATACGGCCACCCGACTACGGAGTAACACAATATTATATTGATCAACCATAAGGCTTATATAATAATTATATATACAACATTATAACTAAGCCACCAGTGCTAGCATAGTGTATAAGAATGATTACCTCAACAGACGAAGTAAGCGAGTGAGCAAAGTGAAGACTCTCCAGGGGGCGATAGACTACATCTACCACTTGCAGGAATTATTGCACCACACCAACAACACTAACTGTTCTGCCTTCTGTCACCTCGAGCCTAGTAACACCTGCAACATGCTTCAATATAACACCGAGATCAGTACCTTTAGCAATATGAGTGAGGGTAGAAATGAAGTCTCTGACCCATGTGAAGGAGTGTGGTGGGGTAGAGCAAGGTGAAAGCTGCCTCCTACATCGTTCCCTCTCATACACAACCTACCACCATCACCACCACTGCTCAAACCAACAGGTAACATATCCTGTATACAACAACCACCTCACCTTTATCTTCAAATAAGAATTAACTTGAAGAATTGAGACGCTTACGCAACATATGGGAATTTTTATTGAAGAAACGTTTCGCCAGACAGCAGCTTCATCAGTCCAGTACAAAGCAGGAAGGTATAAGGAGAGGAGGAGTTTAGAGTAATCAGTCCCTCAGCCTGGAATCGATGTGTTCAGATTGATGGACTGAACACATCGACTCCAGGCTGAGGGACTGTTTACTCAAACTCCTCGTCTTATACCTTCCTGCTTTGTATTGGACTGATGAAACCACTGTGTGGTGAAACGTTTCTTCAATAAAGATTCCCATATGTTGCATAAGTGTCTCAATTCTTCAACTTGTCGGTTTTCAAAACCATTCATCACAGGAATTAACTTGTTTTTAATATTCAGAAATATGTTCTACCCTTCGGCGTGATTTATTTACAAAAATGTACTTAACAATGCTATGTTAACTATCTTTTTGAGGTTACAGAGGAGTCCTGCCACTAGTGACCAACGCCTGTGAACAAGGGGAACCCACCACTAGCCACGGCGGCTCATGGGTAATAAGGCAGATAAAGAAAAGACTCGGAGTATATGATAATACATTAAGTTTCTCTATGAATTATAATTAAAGTAAGCGATGGAATGGTAAAAAGTGACAAATCCAGTTACCAAAACTCTTAACAAATTAAAAACAAAAATAAATTGACTGAGCTACTTCTCAATACTGTAATAAAAGTATTTAATTAATAAACGAAACACTCATAGAAAATGGAACGCAGTGAGTATGATATAAGAGGAGAATAAACACAGGACCAGGGATCCACCTGGCTTGCGGCTTCCACGACACTAAGTGTGGACACAAAACGCACCCAAATCTGTAGGTCTTGGGTAATAACTTTAAGATTTAAAAAATGAACCCAGTGAATTGTACTTTACTGGCAGAGAGTCGACTTATAACCGAAAGGACACTGGTTCGGTTTTCGCGTCGACTCATAACCTAAAGGACACGGGTTCGATTTTCGTGAAGGACGAGATGTACACTTACATTTACTGCCCTCATTCACCTAACAGTAAATAGTTACGTGGGTTTTATTCTACTGTTGTGGGTAACATTGCGGAGAATGGGGGTGTTAAAATGTCTTGAGCAGGTCTGAATTTTGAAATGAGCTGAGGTAGAATAACAGCTCTTAGCCTGTAAATACAGATGTGTAAAAAAAAAAAAATATTGATAACAGGAGTTAATTGCTCAATCCTTGCAGTGGAAACAAGCCACCATAAAACGTGTTAGTATATTAACTAGTCAGTACACAAATAACCCACACATAGGAAAGGGGAACTTACGACGACGTTTCGGTCATACTTGGAACATTTACAAAGTCACACTTTGTAAATGGTCCAAGTCGGTCCGAAACGTCGTCGTAAGCTTCCCTTTCCTATGTGCGGGTTATTTGTGTATTGTTCCAGTCACGGTTTTGTGCCTTTTTGTTATTTAGCTAGTCAGTACTTGATAAAAACGACGAAAAAGTAACTGCTCTTACAGATTCAGCAATATGAGCATCATCCAGCACAGGAGAGGAAGTTCGCCATGAGAAACCTCTTGACGACCCACCTAAGCATCATCCAGCACAGGAGAGGAAGTTCGCCATGAGAAACCTCTTGACGACCCACCTAAGCATCATCCAGCACAGGAGAGGAAATTCGCCATGAGAAACCTCTTGACGACCCACCTAAGCATCATCCAGCACAGGAGAGGAAGTTCGCCATGAGAAACCTCTTGGCGGCCCACCTAAGCATCATCCAGCACAGGAGAGGAAGTTCGCCGTGAGAAACCTCTTGACGACCCACCTGAGCATCATCCAGCACAGGAGAGGAAGTTTGATCACTGACCTGATTCGCGTTGCCTTATTCATGCTACCTCACTCATGCTGAAATAACTGACACTATTGTCACAGCATGATGAGGACAGTTGTGAGAAGGAGAGGATATATCACAGGAATTCGCGTGAAATCTAGGAGATAAAGGCGAGGTATATATGGGTCGAGTTAGGACGTGACTCATGTAGAGAACGATAAGATAAACGATCGAAAGGTTATGGAGTTACGAGAATGTTAGAAAGAAGCAGAGAAATTGTGAACACCAGAAAATAGATGACACGTTTTTGCAGTTGGAAAAACTATAAACGACGACGTTTCGCTAGGTTTTTTACATCTGGACAAACTTGAAAAACCTTGAAAACCAAAATACTATCCATACTGTATTTAATTAAGTGTCTTATTGTTCCAGTTTGTGGGTATATTCACATACCATTCCATTTAGCGGAGGATAATCCGACCGGATATTTCATAGACCACGGAGTATTAGCGAGGAACTTCTCTCCCGAGAGTTCCGGTTTCCCACGGTTGCAAACTGAAGAGCAGATCGTCATTCTTAGCAAATTTTAAAACCAGGTGTTACGCTTAGCCCATTACTCATTCTTTTTTATATTTAATACATACGAGTACATCCAGTGTTGTACGTGAGTTATACATGATTAAAACAAAAATTATCTGTTTTTTCTGTCATCCTACATCACAGAATGGGCTTCATACATTTATTTATTGTCCTTTGCTTTTAGCATTTATTATTCGTTGTCATTAAATGTAAATTAAAATATAGCCATTGGGAATAGTACATAATGTCTCTTGCCCAGGATTTGTATATATTTACAGCTGTAATTTTAACATTTTTTTAGTTTGACCTGAAACTTTATTGTCGCAAGACCTTTTTTTTCGTTTAATAGATTTTTAATTGAGCTAAGAAGTTATTGCTGGGGAAGCCATGCTTTAATTCTGAATGTGACTTATCGATTTGCCTTTGTTTGGTTGTAAGTCTGTGATACCTTATTTCTGCTAGACGGGTGTCTATAAGGTTCCTTGTAAAATAATGTGATAAAGTTTATTACGGTCAAACTGGGGAAAATCTTGATCTAAGATTACAACAACATAAACATAGCATTAAAAGTGGACAAGATTCTAAGGCTCTGTTTATTATTATTGTGCATGACAGTCTAATGCTGCCACGCACAATAAACTATGCTTGTAAATTAATGTGAATGTTTGTAGGTCAAGGCCTTCCGCCTACAGGTGGGTCATTACGTATACGTAGGTAGGTAAGATTTGTCAGTACATAGGACAAATGTTTCCTGACGTAGGTCTTAGTCATATGATGACCCGCAATTGGAGCTTTTGCGCATCTGACCGAGGCCTTCCAGTGGCTTAACCTCCACCCCTTTCAAAATTAGGGTTTCAAGTATTATTACGTATACAGAAACCTTACAGCGACACACTGTGAGTGTGTCGCTGAGGAATGTGTATTTCCAGGAAACGCTTGAGAAAGTATTATCATCCTTTGCTGCTGCCATGATGCCCGCCTTTGTGGCTAACAGTTTTTTTTTTATTCCAGGAGTTGCAGGAGCAGCAGTACGTAAGTGATTGTATTTCGATGACTGATTACTGAGCGAAGTCAACATGCAAAACACATCAGAAAACATTACTCTCTGAGAGTAATATTCGTGGAACATATACTTGTTAACGCGGAAGAAGCGTTAAACCCGTAGGAGATATACAGTGCCTGGGAGATGATAAGTAATTACGTTTAATTTAAAAGGAATGTATCTCTAATTCCTTGGACCAAGAACCCTTCACCGGCATCAGTGCACCCCTTCAGGAAATTTAAGATAGCCTTCTCGGATCACAGTTTTCCCCATCCGAATTTTTATTTAGTATATTCTCTCAGCTGCCCATTGGTGGTCACAGTGTCTCTTCAGTTTGTCGTCTCTGCAGTTCGTATTATTCTTGATTACTTGCAGGTTGTTAGTATTATGTGTGTTGCCTCATTTTGTTATATTCACAAGAAAGTGTTAAACCTGAGTTGTCGTCACATAGATGATCCTTTAATATACTAAACCTGATAAGACTCTCGCAATATTTAGGTATCTTTATTCCTAATCGTTTCGCCTACACAGTAGGCTTTTCAGTCGAATATAGAAGAAGTAGTGGAGATATAGAGATGATGTAATTCTGCACTCTCTAGAAAGGAGTAAAATTAGGGGGGATATGACTGAGGTTTATGACTGAGAAACAGGAATATGTAAAGGGGATGTAAATAACGTGTTAAAAATATCTAAGACAGGACTCGCAACAATAAATTCAATTTGAAAAATTTAGATTTAGAGAGGTTATAGGAAAGCAGTGGTTTGGTTAGAGTTGTGGGTGAGTGGAACAAACTCCCAGGTAGAGTTACTGAAACAAAAACCTGGAATAGCTTTAAAAATAGGTTAGAGATGTACTTGAGTGCGTGTGGGTGGGTTTGAGTTAGACCTGCCTAGCTTGGACCAGTAGGCTTGCAGCAAAGATCTTTCTTAAGTGGGTGTGCCTAGCATGAGTCAGTAGTCCTGCTGCAGTACGTAAATGACTGACTAGTTCTCAGGTACACACAAAGGCTAATATTTTATTCGGTAGCTCTGATGAGTCTCCATACTAAGATCCCGACCAATATTAAACAATTTAATGCCTTTACATTCCTTCTAGGAAAAGAGGTTTGATGCTAATGGAGGGGCTTATTCAGCAGTTATTTATGAATATAACAATAAATCATGATTTAACAATAACAATCCCATAACAATAAATAATGTACATGTTAACAATAAATCAATGTACATGATTTAAATTGTTTAAGGCATTAAATTATTTAATGTTGATCAGGGATCTTGCTAATATGAAGACTCATCAGAGCTACAGAATAAAATATTCGTTTTTAAAAAGTCTACCATGTGTGTCCCTGAGAACAAATAAGTTACTGTTATTTGTTTATTTTTTAAAGGCTTACTGCTCTACAGCATTGTTCTGTGGTGATAGTTAAATGAATTTAAACATTTTGTCCATGTGTAGGTGTTTTAATTAAATACATATGCAATATGGAGGTGGTTTATGGTAGTTTGGTCAGGACATGACACATCAACACTCGCAAAATTATCGTTAAAAAATTGTTGATGTAACACCTAGTCAGGCAGTAAAATAATTATAAATTTAGTGTAAACATAATACTATTACCTGGAAGAACAAACACTACAATAGTTAGATGAACATAAAAAATGTATTAAAATATATAATCAATGTCAGAATAATTTAAACAAAACTAATAACAGATGTTAGATCAGATCTGGAGATCATAATACTGCACGAAAATTAAATAATATTTGTCACAAATTCCTAAGACTTATTAAAGGGAAAATTTTATAAGTTAACATAAGAATTTAATAGCTAAAACATTAATATAAAAAAAATACTTGACAAATCAAACAATAATAAAAATACTGATGAGAAATTAATAGCTAAACTTTACTTGACGCATGAGCCAGTAGGCCTGCCTAGCATGAGCCAGTAGGCCTGCCTAGCATGAGCCAGTAGGCCTGCCTAGCATGAGCCAGTAGGCCTGCCTAGCATGAGCCAGTAGGCCTGCCTAGCATGAGCCAGTAGGCCTGCCTAGCATGAGCCAGTAGGCCTGCCTAGCATGAGCCAGTAGGCCTGCCTAGCATGAGCCAGTAGGCCTGCCTATAGCATGAGCGCCAGTGAGGGCCTGCCTAGCATGAGCCAGTAGGCCTGCCTAGCATGAGCCAGTAGGCCTGCCTAGCATGAGCCAGTAGGCCTGCCTAGCATGAGCCAGTAGGCCTGCCTAGCATGAGCCAGTAGGTCTGCCTAGCATGAGCCAGTAGGCCTGCCTAGCATGAGCCAGTAGGCTGCCTAGCATGAGCCAGTAGGCCTGCCTAGCATGAGCCAGTAGGTCTGCCTAGCATGAGCCAGTAGGCCTGCCTAGCATGAGCCAGTAGGCCTGCCTAGCATGAGCCAGTAGGCCTGCCTAGCATGAGGGCCAGCAGTAGACCTGCCTAGCATGAGCCAGTAGACCTGCCTAGCATGAGCCAGTAGACCTGCCTAGCATGAGCCAGTAGACCTGCCTAGCATGAGCCAGTAGACCTGCCTATAGCCAATTGGAGCCAGTAGGCCTGCCTAGCATGAGCCAGTAGGCCTGCCTAGCATGAGCCAGTAGGCCTGCCTAGCATGAGCCAGTAGGCCTGCCTAGCATGAGCCAGTAGGCTTACACCAGTGTTCCTCTATGTTCTTTAAACAAAGCGAAATAAGCAGATGTCTCCTAAACTCCTCTAACAAACATCATCTATCAATGGGAGTTCAGTATTACTGGACAGCTGTGCACCGCCATGGTTTAGCGCTTTCTTTGATTGTAATAATAATAATATCCACTGCCATAATAGTCACAGGTAATCAGATTAAGTTTAATCTTGGCACAAATTTGGAACTGTAACTTGTATAGGAAGTCAAATCTTACAATAACTTTTTTTTTTTTTTAGCAAATCTACTCTAGTTCTTTTTTCAATATAAATTTCTTGGATGCCCGTAATTTCTTAGGTATATAATCTTGATGGTCATCTGTGTTATGAGGAGGTTGGTGAGCTGGGTGAGGTTTGTGGTCATGAGGCTCAACCCTCTGTGACTCCTCCTGAGAGCCATACCCAGAGGAGGCACAGGAGTCAGGGGCCTCCCTGCGAGGGGACTGCGCTGAGAGAGACTCAGTCGGGGCACCGCTGATCTTGTTCTCCGCAGGACAGCAGCCGACGGCCATCGGGATGGCGGAGGTAGCAGATACAGTGGTCATCACAGAGACGTGAGGCTCAGGACGATTAAGCGGAGCCAGGCTCACTGGAGGGGCGCCCCACTCAGGGTGAACAAAATTTTCAATAGGCGCCTGGATGTGTCTTGGTGAGTGTGTTTCGGTAGACCTGGAGCTCAAGTTCAGTGGGTGTGGGGAAGACTGGGCATGACTAGGCGTAAGTGTGGTGTTGTGGGTGTGGGCGGCCTCACCACTGACAACCTCCTCTGGCCACGAACCTCCTGACGACGGATCTGGAAAAAAAAATACTATGAGTGGGAGGGGCTGGGTTTGATTGGTGTCATTGGGTACGGGAGTAAATTCTTGGGTAGCTTTGGGTAGAAGTCGCTTTGATAAGGACCTGCCGTGTATGGGCCAGTAGGCCTTCTGCAGTGTTCTTCCATTCTTATGTTATGCTCTTACTTTAGATACGCCAGGAAAGTTAATCTTTATATTATATTTATTAATACCACAGCCAAACCAGTAAAACATTAAAAACGTTCCATATGAACAAGTTGGTAAAAAAAAAGAGGGTAAATAAATTAAACACTATAGAACTAAAAAGACACAAAAGTAGAAGTCTTAACAGTATACAAATATAATGGCAATTCGTAAAAAAAAGCGAGATTTAATCTTTTTAAACCACTTGCCGGTATCAATCACCAAGATTTATACCAATTTTTAAAATTACAACACAAAATGGTCATCTGCATATTTTATTTGCATTAAATTCTACTTAGATTTTGACTGGGAAACTCTACAAAATAACATCATATAAACTGGCAAATTAATCTATAGAATAAGTTGTACAAAACCACAATTTTTTTAAGAATAATACCATAAAAAATCACAACTTACCGTGATGATGAGTGTAAGTCGTGTTTTGGGGTGACTGAGGCGGGACATCATCCTGGCGGGGGCGGTCGTCTGCGAGCAAGGCAGAGACACTGAAATTCTTGTAAGGCCCCGTCTTTTTTGTGGCCGAAATGTTGGGCATTACATCCACCATGGGCATCACGTCCACCATGTCACTATTTTGAGTAAGTAGGCGAGGGCGAGGGCGGTGGGGTAGCGGGTGGTGGAAGACAGGGGCAGGTAAGTTGGGCATAGAGGGCAAGACTGGCCATGGTGTAGTGCCCCTTGGAGGTTGGAACCAGGGGGCGTTATAGCGATGATCTGCGAACTGAAAGTGTTGAGCAGGTAACATGTGTTGAGCAGGCAGCATGTTTTGAGCAGGTAACGTGTTGTGTTGTTGAGTAGGCAACACGTTATGTACAGGCACCGTGAACGGAAAGTGTGGGTTTGGTTGAGGCAGTTTGGGCAAGAAGCCTTCTAGTAAATGACGTGCTAGCTGTCCCCCATTCTTCTGATGGACTCGCATATGACGCTCTAGATTACTCTTGTGACTAGTTTCATAGGAACACTGACTACAGGAAAACTCTTTGTATCCAGAATGCACGGAGTAATGGCGCTTGAGGAGAGCCTTGCGGCAGAACACACGGGTACACATGCTGCAGTGGTAGCCATCGCGGTGACACTTCTGTGTGTGCATCCTTAGCTCGGCCTTGTTGAGGAAGCGGTGGGAGCAACACTCTAGTAGAGCAGACGTGATCTCGTGCATAGTAAGGATGTGGCGCTTCAGGTTGTTCTTGCGGTCGGTGCGGTAAGTGCACATGTTGCAGGCATATAGGTTGTTCTTGTCCTCTCCCTCGCTGGGTAAGAGACCTTCCTTGTTATCTTCCTCGCTGGCACTAGATGACACGCTGCCGCTGGGAGACACCATCATGCCCACGTCACATTCCACCAACATGATGATTCGCAGTCACTACCAGTGTTGATGGTGAAGCGTGAGTGGGAGTGACTCGTTGCAGTGGCTCCCCGCGTATGTGCCTCCGAGTGCTCCTGGCGAATGAGAGGTCCTGTGTGGCAGTGATGTTCTGCAGTGTGACGAGGGGCGGCGGTGGGCGGCGTCACACAGTCATAGAGCAATGTTACACACCACTGACTTCAGCACACTATGTACGCGCACATGAAAGCGGTCTTGTAACTAAACAGTTGTCCATGAAGAATAAGTCAGTTCAGGTACGGGAGCCAAGTGAGGGGAGAATAAGAGTTTCCAAGTCTCATCACACTAAAGCAACAACTTCCCTCACGTTTCAATCAGTACTTAATAAATTTGTCATAAAATAGCCACTCTCGTCTTGACTTGCATCTCTCAAGACAAGAACGTTTCTAAGGTCAACACTGACGCGTCCGAGGTCAACGCTCACCCTTACACGACTGACCTCTCTCCCCCAGCATCCCATATATAAAGGGTCAGGCAACATTGCCAGAGTTCACGTCAGGTCACGGCTAACCAATCATGGGCTTAGGTTATCGCATTCCAGGAATGGTGTTGCCATATGTGGTGTGTTTGTTATTATTCAGCACAAAGAATAAGGAAACATAAGAATGTAGGAACACTGCAGACGACCTATTGGTCCATACTAGGCAGGTCCTCAAAAACAACCTTTACTCGCTTCTCAAACCTTTTCGCAAAGAAACTCAAGAATTAGCATCAATGCTTAATCAAACCCAGCCCTGTGTATCCGCTAATAAGGTGACAGAACCGCTGCTCTCGTAGCCTGTCTTCCTCATGAATGAAGTCTGCAAGTTGACTCTCACTTCTTCAGTCACTAAAACTCGTGCTCATTCTCTAAGGGCAAATTATAATTTCTGACAATGTGACCAATCATGAGCCATCATGATACAGAAAACAACATTGTAGATGAATGGTTCAGAGAACCGACATGTGTAGGCGAAACGTTTCGGAATAAAGTTGTCTAACTGTTGCATATGTGTCTTACCTAACAACCTGTCGGTATTGTATACCATTTTGATGTTCAACTCTTGGGTATCTTTATCGAGGAAACGTTTCGCCACACAGTGGCTTCATCAGTCCATACACAGGAGAAACTTGAAGAACAGCAGGAGAATGAGGTAATCAGTCCTTCAGCCTTGGAGTTAGTGAACACTAACTCCAAGGCTGAGGGACTGATTACCTCATCTTTTGTATATAGTTCTACTGTCTTCCAATTATGTCCAAGAATCTGTATTGATAAAGCCACTGGATGGCGAAACGTCTACAATAAAGATATCCAGATGTTGCACATGTGTCTTAACATAAGAACATAAGAATGTAGGAACACTGCAGAAGGCCTACTGGCCCATACGAGGCAGGTCCTTATCAAAACGACATCTACCTAAAGCTACTCAAGAAATAACTCCCGTACCCGATGACACCAATCAAACCCAGTCTTAACTTTCAATCTTGAATAGAATACGTATTCTTAGAAGCCTACTGTGTAGGCGAAACGTTTCGAAATAAAGATACCTAACTGTTGCATATGTGTCTTACCTAACAAGTCACAAACAAATGTGACTGGGCGAAACGTTGTAAATAAAGGATCACATTACAAAGATAATTAATTCAGACGTAGATGTCACTGATCTTCAGAAGGATTTAGACAAATTTAGTTCGTGGTCAGAAAAGTGGTAGATGCAGTTCAGTGCAGATAAATGCAAAGTCCTGAAGCTCGGGAACGTCCATAACCCTAGCGCTTATAAACTAAATAATGATGATAAATTAGACACATGTGCAACTCTTGGGTATCTTTATTGAGATATTAAGATACCCAAGAGTTGCACATGTGTCTAATTTATCAACATGTCGGTTCTCTGAACCCTTCATCTTCAAACTAAATAATGAGGAACTTAGCCTTACAGAATGCGTAAAGGACTTGGGGGTTATGGTAAGCAGCGACCTTTAACCAAGACAACAGTCAGGCAACATCTGTGAACCATTCATCTACAGTAGAAGTATATACAAAAGATGAAGAACATCAAAATGGTATACAATACCGACAGGTATTGGTGTGAAGAGCACCGTAAAACATAAGAAAAGAGGAACACTACAGTAAGCCTGTTGGCCCATACTAGGCAGGTTCTTCATAAATCCAACCCACTAACAGAATCATGGGATCATGTTACAAAGAATTCTTCAACACTTGTCCAACCTTTGGACGAGGATCTACTTCGACTAGTGGATGATACCACTATGACCCCGCCTCCTCCTGCTTCGCCTCACCTCACTAAGAACATAAGAACATAAGCCTGGCGCTTATATAGTAACGTCAGGTGTAGCAGACGAGGGCATATTCACTGCTACACCTGACGTTACTATATAAGCGCCAGGCTCCTTTCTTCTGCTTCAGAATTAAGACACATGTGCAACATCTGGGTATCTTTATTGTAGACGTTTCGCCATCCAGTGGCTTTATCAATACAAATTCTAGGACATAACTTGAAGACAGTAGAACTATGTACAGAAAATGAGGTAATCAGTCCCTCAACCTAGGAGTAGGTGCAAAGAGCACCATAGTCGTGGAGATTCTGAAGCAGAAGAAAGGAGCCTGGCGCTTATATAGTAACGTCAGGTGTAGCAGACGAGGGCATATTCACTGGTAGGCGGGATTCCCCAGTGGAAGTAGGTCCTTCCCAAAGAGATGGGTTAGTTGTAGTAGTAGTTGTCGTAGTCGTGAAGGTTATGTATCTCCACGACTATGGTGCTCTTTGCACCTACTCCTAGGTTGAGGGACTGATTACCTCATTTTCTGTACATAGTTCTACTGTCTTCAAGTTATGTCCTAGAATTTGTATTGATAAAGCCACTGGATGGCGAAACGTCTACAATAAAGATACCCAGATGTTGCACATGTGTCTTAATCTCATCAGGCTTCTTCAGTCGAATACAGAAAGTAGGCAGGAACAGTAGAGATGTGAAGACGATGTAATCAGTCCATCACCCTTAAAGCCGTAGAATTTGAGGTTGTCAGTCCCTCAGTGTTATGTTCTATTGTGTCGGTGACGGCGATTAGTGAGGCTTCTAGGCACCGTCGGCGTCTGAGGTCTGGTTCGGTGAGAATGAGTTGTGCCTCATTCCAGATCATCAAATGCCCCATGGAGTCTCTGTGTCCTCCACAGAGACTCCATATCAAGAAGTGTAAGCAACAGAAGTCCAGCTTGTAGATGAATGGTTCACAGAACCGACACGTTGATAAATTAGACACATGTGCAACTCTTGGGTATCTTTATTGAGGAAACGTTTCGCCACACAGTGGCTTCATCAGTCCATACACAGGAGAAACTTGAAGAACAGGAGGAGAATGAGGTAATCAGTCCCTCAACCTTGAGTCGATGTGGTCAGTCCATCAATCTTGAATAGATTGATGGACTGACCACATCGACTCAAGGTTGAGGGACTGATTACCTCATTCTCCTCCTGTTCTTCAAGATTCTCCTTTGTATGGACTGATGAAGCCACTGTGTGGCGAAACGTTTCCTCAATAAAGATACCCAAGAGTTGCACATGTGTCTAATTTATCATCATTAGTATTACCTCCCCTAAGAGCATACGAAAGGAGGAACACTGCAGTAGGCATGTTGGCTCATACTGGGCAGGTCCTTCACAAATCTAACCCACTAACAACATATTTCCAACCCATTTATAATGGGTTGCACAGCTCAATTCTGGTCTCCATATTACAGAATGGATATAAATTCATTAAAAAACATCTAGCGAAGAATGACAAAATTAATACATAGCAAAAGCAATCTTCCTTATGAAGAAAGATTGAAGTGGAGGGTACTGGTGTGAATATTGAGATGCTCAGTGTGACAATACCTAACACCTCACTCAGTCACACCTCACATACCTCACCCAGACTTACCGCAAAGATCACTGACCATCAGCTAGCAAAGTCCAGCTTGAGGAGTGTCACTAAGACTGTTAATGTCTGGGCTGGTGGGTCTTGGGAAGGTGGTGGCAAGGTAGCTCTGTCTCATTCTAACATACAGTACTGAATACGTTAGAATTCTAGGCAGGCGTCGCTCCGTTCCAATAGTTTCCTCTGACAACATACTTCAACTTTGTAGGGTTAAATTACACCGGTATTAACGGATTACTCGCTAAATTTTGAGAGATAAATTAGGCAAGGTAGCCCCCGTGGCGGACATTATGGGACGGTGGACTCCACCCTGATCTGCTGTAATTATTTCCTCTCATGACAATGTCGCCTCTCTCATACACTCACTAACTCTTATCTCACTATTTTACTACATCTCACACAATTTTTATTATGGAATTATAAAATGTGTAAGAGGGATGAGAGAAGATAGATAGATATGAATAACAAAAAAAGGCACAATACAGTGACTGGAACGATACACAAATAACCCGCACATACAAGAGAGGAGCTTACGACGACGTTAGCTCCTCTCTTCTATGTACGGGTTATTTGTATATAGATAGATATGGTTTAAAAAGACACGTAAGCAAACACTATGACATATTTATTAGAAAACGTTTCGGTCCTGGGACCTTGATCGCTTCTAACAAGGTCTCAGGACCGAAACATTTTCTAATAAATATGTCATAGTGTCTGCTTACGTGTCTTTCTAAACCAACTTGTCGGTATTTATTACCAAGGTTTATACCATAGATAGATATGGTATATTTGTAGCTCTTATCTTATCTCTAACAGTCACATCACTCATATAGCATTATCAAAAACACATGCTTTAACTACAGTAGGCCTGCTGCAGTGTTCCTTCTTTCCTATGTTCTTAACGAGATCTCTTTAGTCCTTTATCGTACCTGGCTGAATCAAATTAATTAGTTTACAAGTGATGGTGGGGAAATGTTTCTCCAGTAAAGATTCCCATATGTTGCATAAGTGTCTCAGTTTTTCAACTTGTCGGTTTTCAAAACCATTTATCATATTTGTGTACTTGTTCAAGACGAGTAGCAGCAGGGAGTGAGGGAAGGTAGACAAGAGTGGCAGCAGAGAGTAAAGGAAGGTAGACAAGAGTGGCAGCAGAGAGTAAAGGAAGGTAGACAAGAGTGGCAGCAGAGAGTAAAGGAAGGTAGACAAGAGTGGCAGCAGAGTAAGGGAAGGTAGACAAGAGTGGCAGCAGAGAGTAAAGGAAGGTAGACAAGAGTAGCAGCAGAGTAAGGGAAGGTAGACAAGAGTGGCAGCAGAGAGTAAAGGAAGGTAGACAAGAGTAGCAGCAGAGTAAGGGAAGGTAGACAAGAGTAGCAGCAGAGTAAGGGAAGGTAGACAAGAGTGGCAGCAGAGAGTAAAGGAAGGTAGACAAGAGTGGCAGCAGAGAGTAAAGGAAAGGGAGACAAGAGTAGCAGCAGAGTAAGGGAAGGTAGACAAGAGTAGCAGCAGAGTAAGGGAAGGTAGACAAGAGTGGCAGCAGAGAGTAAAGGAAGGTAGACAAGAGTGGCAGCAGAGAGTAAAGGAAGGTAGACAAGAGTAGCAGCAGAGTAAGGGAAGGTAGACAAGAGTGGCAGCAGAGAGTAAAGGAAGGTAGACAAGAGTAGCAGCAGAGTAAGGGAAGGTAGACAAGAGTAACAGCAGAGTAAGGGAAGGTAGACAAGAGTGGCAGCAGAGAGTAAAGGAAGGTAGACAAGAGTAGCAGCAGAGTAAGGGAAGGTAGACAAGAGTAGCAGCAGAGTAAGGGAAGGTAGACAAGAGTAGCAGCAGAGTAAGGGAAGGTAGACAAGAGTAAACACAGAGAGTAAGGGAAGGTAGACCCAAAAGTGGCAGCAGAGAGTAAGGGAAGGTAGACAAGAGTAGCAGCAGAGTAAGGGAAGGTAGACAAGAGTGGCAGCAGAGAGTAAGGGAAGGTAGACAAGAGTAGCAGCAGAGTAAGGAAGGTAGACAAGAGTGGCAGCAGAGAGTAAGGGAAGGTAGACAAGAGTAGCAGCAGAGTAAGGGAA